ACACAGTTCGGGACAAGTCGCGGACAGTCTGGGAGAGTCCATGCAGCCGCCCTGCAACCATCCGCAAACATGACCGAATCGGTGTTTGCACTCGCGCGTCGTCACGGTAGACATCGATGGTTCTACCCGCCGTAGCTGAGAGTTGGGTTCCGCCAATGCAGTCCAAGTTGTCAACAGTGAGACAGACAGAGCAAACGGAGAAGAGAGGAGGTTGTTCTGGCCGCCACACCTATGGCAGGCGTTCCGTTGCGGCTCCTCGCATACACACGCACTCTCTCGCACGCGCACGCGCAAACGCACAGATGAGCACCGGTCAGGCTTCGAAGCCGATGAGACAGCTGGGTTCTCACACGCCGAGTCTCGACGGAGCGGGCTGTCGAGAAACTGGGCCCTCGAATGCAGAGGGGGCAAACAAACAAAAAGAAGACATGCGATGCGTTGATAGTGTGTCGCAGAAAAGGCACCTGGCAGACAAGAGACGAAGCAGCGGTCGAGAACAAGTTGCATGAATGACAGCAAGGGCTTCGCATGAAAAGAGACGCTAACTGATTCCGTCGGTCAATTCCACCGTCGTCCAAGACCCAGGTCCGCCGCGCCGAGGTCCACCCAAGGAAGACCAGGTCCCACGACCACGACCACGTCCACGTCCACGACCAGGGCTTGAGTCCTCTCTGCCAGGTCCACCACGCGCGCTGCTCCTACATCATCATCGGGTGTATACATGCACCCCCGTTGTCCGGCATGCCACGCAGTACCGGCTCAGAGATGGGCTGCACGCCCACTCACGCACGGTACAGAAGCCTGAGTGGCACGCCCATTCGCTCTGTCCACACACCTCGCACACACTGGTGGTGCATCCTGCGGCCGCCTCTGCAACCCGCCGTCGGGAACAAGCGCGGGACCCCAGACCACGCAGCGGCCCAAGGCTCAGGGCTCCAGAAGCCCCAAGACCATCCGCCCGCGGTGCAACGTCCCGGCAGCATCTGTTCTCCTGTCCCTGTCCCCAGGCCAGAAGAAGAAGCGTCGAGGAACCCTAGCATCTCTCTCGACAGGGTCTTGATTGGGCGAATCTCGAAGGTGCAAACTGAGAGGGCTGTGTTGCCCTTGGGGGGCATATCTTGTTTGCTACGGACGACATGACGACCCAGGTTCCATCCAATGCGTGAATCGGATCCTGCATCCTCTTAGCAACAATTCTCTCTCTGCTTGACCGTTGAACACGACGTCTCTGGTCAGGCTGAGACCGAGCCCGAGCCTAATCAGTCTGAGCTCAGCGCACAGCTCTTACATCTGCATCGCTTGATAGGCTCGGTCACTTCCAGGCCACACTGCCCGCTCGGGTAGTTACCCTTCCTTCAACCATCTTGGGCATTGCATCTCACAACAACCCGCAGGTTAGCTTTCACGAGCTTCCTCCCACCCATCACACTTGTTCCTCTGGGTTGCGCACACACTTTGTTTGTCCCCTCTTGGGTTGGACAAGGCCCACCACACACAGGTCGCTCTCCGGGGCGCACGCACGCACTGTACTCGGCTGAACCCCTCCTCCACCCTCGACTGACTGACTGACTGCGTTCTCCCTCGTTCGCTTGCCGTTAGCGGACCCGGAGTGTGTTTGAAGGCAAAGGCTCCAACTGCCTAGGCATTGTGCGGACGGATACGTCGCCCTCCGATGAGACGCCCTCCCTCCCTCGATGCCCCCGAAGCCGCCTCCAACCAAGCAAGCCCTGACGCACCGAGCCGACAGACACTTGGTCTTTCCTTCGAGTTCAGTCCAGCTGGGTTTGCTCGGCGACTCCCTGATCGACTCCACCGTCACCCGTGTCGCCGCCTCGGCCGCCATCTGGTCGACTGCTGTAAGGTACCGCTAGCTCTGCCACAGCCGAGCAAGCATCCATCCATCTCTCCATCCATCTCTCCATCCATCCACCCACCCATCCATCCTATTTCATCGCTCGCTCGGTTTGTGTGCGCACCAACAACGACGCAGCGCAACACACACGGCTGCAGACAAGAGGGCTGAATCCATACCTGCTGGGCACCTGATATGCACCCGGCACCTGGCCCTGCTTGCTTGCTTTGCTCTGCTTTGCCGTGCACCTGCTGCACCTGCGCCTGCACCTGCACCTGCACCAGGCTGTTGGACAGTACCCCCGGCCCTGGCCTGGCCTGACCTTGACATACTCTCCCATACCGCTGGGACAGACCAAACACGCCAAAATCAGAAAACCCCTCCAACACGACCAACAACCACTCAAACAGTCGCAACCACACGCCCCTCCTCCTCGTCCTCCTCGTCCTCCTCGTTTGCTTTCTGTCGTCCTTTTGGTCCTTTTCTTCCGCCCCTCTGCCGCGCTACGTTCTCTTCATCTCTCCATCTTTCTCCCTCCCCGCCATCTCCTCCACCCTCCTCCGTCCTCAAGACCGCTTCCGATATCTCTTCCGCCGATATTTTAGGTATGTCTGTGTGTGTGATGTGTGCTTTGTTGTTGTTGTTGCTGCTGTTGTTCCGGTCCATCCCCTCCCTTGGACTCTCCCTTTGCTTGGTCCTGGCGTCTGTCTTGTTTCGGGAAACATCGACTTGTCAGCAATTGGCGGCGTGGCTATTGCTGACCGAGCCGGCGGGCGGCGAGCGGCGAGAGGCGAGCGAAACTCATGGCACCTGAGCCAACACGGGTACGGCCACGGGAATTAAACCTTGGCTTGCCGCGCCCTTGCTATTGAGTTCTCTGCCTTGCTGTCTTTGTCTTGTTCAAGTCTCATGTTGATCGAGCTTTTCGCCGTCCCTTGGTCTCTGCCGGCGACTGCGTTGTTGCTGCTTTCACTTTGACTCAAACCATCCTTCAGTTGTCTCCGAGCCGGGTTAGTTTAGGTTTCGGTGTACGGCTTGAGTGAGAGGCTTCACCGAGCGTATCACCAACCACTCCAACCTGGCAGAGAAGCACATTGTTGCGGTGGAGAGAGCACGTTTCGGGCGGCCAACAACACACGATAGTTGGCCGGGCCGGAGCGCAGAGGAGACACTGGGCCAACAGACGACACTCGCTCATGCAGATGCGAGTGAGAGACAAGAGGCACGGGGCGATACGAAACCAAGCATCAGATGGAGGGACCAATGAGTTCTGGCCGACCGAACGAGTTTTTCAAGCTTCAGCAAAATAAGTCTAACATGATTGTTGACTAGAGTCTATTCACACCCGCTGGGCCTCGCGGAGTCACACGCATTCGCCCTGCCTGATCGCATTCTGGTCTTTGAGCCTCTCAGATATAAAGTCTCTGACGTAGTCCTCGACAAGGAGCCAGTACCTCTCGACCATAGGCCAACAACTTTGCACGCCGTCCGACTACCCACGAGAAGACTCATTTCTTTCTCTTTGCGACCTACCAAGTCACTCAACACTGGTGGTCTTGCCCAAGGCGCCGTCTGTCTTGAATCAGCAACCTGGTTCACGGAGATCTACAAGGCCAATCCGCCTGAAGCGAGTTGACTCTTTGAGCCTTAAGAGTCCCCAGTAAGGCTTCATTCCGGTTCGCACATCGAGCCACAACTACTGCTGCTACTGCTACTGCTACTGCTACTACCTGGTACGTGCTGGCTTCTAGTCGGTCGCTTCATCTCCCGTCCCGTCCTTTGGCCTTCCTTCTACTTTGACGCCAGAGATGCTGCCCTGGTCCCTGCTCTGTGCTTCGTTTCCTTCCGCTGGAGTTCCTCCCCCGGCTCCCCAGCTAAGGTAGCAAGCCGGTTGTCTCTGTTTTTCTTCCTTCTTCCTCGCCCCAAGTCAACTTGCCTTGCCTTAACCCCCCTTTGGCGGCGGCGGCGCACGCTACGCTACGTGCTGGGTTCTGGTGCTAGTTAGCAGGCCTGGGTTCTTGGTGCTAGCTGGGGCCGGCTCCCTGGGAACGGCACGACACCGGCCCATCCGTCCCATTTACATTCCCGCCATCGTCTCCGCCACTTGCCCACTCTAAACTTCCATCCTTCGGCAGCCCTCGCACATGCCTCTGCTAGACTCGCACCCCCCCCTTCTCTACGCTACGCTTCCCTTCCCTTGCCTCTCCACTTTCCCTTCATGTCGCTCGCTCGCTCGCTGCCAGTGCCAGTGCCAGTGCCAGTGCCAGTGCCAGTGCCAGATCAGACGTAGGCAGGTTGTAGGCATAGTTAGTTCCTACCCTCCTTTGCCTTCCAATGTCTTTTGCTTCCAACACATCCATCTCTCTTCTTCATCCTTTTTCTCCTCTTCCGCTTCTCCTCTGTTCTGCAACTCGCCTTCGAGGGTCGTATTGTTTTTAACTGTGCATCTATAGGCAGGGCGTCGTCCTAGTCGTCGTCGTCGTCGTCGTTGTCGCAGACAGGACGGACAGACACAGACACCTCGCTCTCTACTGCCCGCCTTCGCTTGGGCTCGCTTCACCTTCTCTCTCGTCGAGGAGCATTTCTCTCTCCTCAGCTGACTATTTCCGCACCCCCAAGCCCGACAGAAGGGAAGGGCCCAGAGTGTCCCCCCCTCCATCACCCCCAGTCCCGGTCCTCAATCCACAATCCACAATCCCCAAAAACCCCAGGCTCCATTTGCGGTTGGGTTCCTGGTTCCTCACACGGACGGCGTGGATCAGATCGGAGGTTCTTCCCATCCCTCGCTATAACTGTCGGCCTGTCCCGCCGCACTCTTCCCGCCCGCGTCAGAGACAACTCACCCTCCGCCTCTCGGGAATCAAGCCTCAGGCATTGCGGTCCTAAGACTTCTGGAATCCGCTGTCATCTCCCGCCGAGACATTCATTCTTGACTCGTGAGCCTCGGCCACTCCGACGACACTTCAAGAAGGGCGTTGACCACGCCAATTGCTGTGCTGTGCTGCGCTGCTCCGCTCTCTCTCGAGTCTTGTCCACCGCCAAATGCTCTGTCGCAGCCTGACCATCCACATCCCTCCATTCAACGCACCTGGTTCAATCCCAGTCAACCACACTCGCCCGTCAGCGGCCCCTTGCGCCTCAACATAGCATGGCCGACGACAGCTACCGGCAAGACTATCATCAGCAAAGCCGTCCAGACGAGAGCCAATCTCAACCTCAGTCGCATTACCCTCCTCCCCCAGAAACCACCCAGCGCCCTCTCGACGCTCACCCGGCCACCATGGCTGCTTCTGTTACTCTCCCATCTATTCATGACCCGCGCAGCTACGGCCCGCCGGCTGCAGCACCACCCCGAGGCTACCCTAGTGATCCACGATATGCGTCTCCCAACGCTGTCAACGGTTATCCGCCTCCCGGCGGGCAGCAGCCTCCTCCTGGCCAGCAACAGCAACCGTATCTCCCGCCTCTGCAGCCGCAGTCTGACCCGCGTTCGTCGGCCTATCCTCCTCCCCCGCAAGACCAGCGAGGTGGCTACTACGATGATCGCCGCCCTGCCTATGGGCAAGAGCCTTACCCGCAGGATCCCTACTATGCCCATTCCTACTATCGACAGCCGCCGCCTGGTCCCCCACCGCCAAATGGTCACCAGAACTACCGCAACCTCGCTGGCGGCGTTTACGAGTACCCTCAAGTTGGACCTGGCAACCCTCCCCAATTGACCCAAGCAGCGCCTCGACAGCGTACCTCGATTGCGTGCCGATATTGTCGTAAGAGAAAGGTCGGTGTGGAAAACGTTTGTAGCGGTGCGCGTGTGACTGACTGCCTATAGATCCGATGCAGCGGCTATCAGAGCGCTCCTGGTGGCAAGTGTCAAAACTGTGCCAGAATGAACCAAGAATGCATTTTCCAGCCAGTCTCTTCCTCGAGCTCCACCGCTTTCATCCCAGTCTCTGCAGTCCCCGGAGGTGTTCCTCCTGGCACTCAGCTGTTTGGAGCATACGGTCAACCCTTGGCGCCAGGCACCGTCCCACCTCCGCCTCAGCAGCCTCCTCCCCCAACTTATCAGCAGCACCCGAATGTTCCCCCTCCGGCAAACTATTATGCGCCTGTTCAATCACCAACAGAGTCGTTCTCTTCCTACGGAGATGCGAGAACCGACGATGGAAGCCAAGTTGCTGGACGCCGCCGCCGCAGGACCTCGGAGGAGCAGGAGGAGGGTTATCGACTGCCTCCACCACGCAGCGCATTGGAGGAGGATCCACGAAGGAGGTCTCCCGCCGAATTTTCGAACCACAGCAGCCCGGGTGGAATTGGATACCCGCCGTACGGGGGCCCGAGACAGAGCCCTCGTAACCCAACAAGCGGCACCCTACCCCAGCCTGCGACGAGCGGAGGATATGCTGCTTCCGCACCCGGCGGCCGCTCTCCTACAGGCCAGAACGGCTCCAGTGGCGCCTCGACTCCTGCGAGACAGGGACAGCAACAGGGGCAGCAGCAGCAGAGTGGAAACCAGTCGATTATGAGTCTCAGCAACCTGGTGGAGCAGAATGACATCGACAAGACCATGATCGAGCGATTGAATCGACCTTTGCCAGGACAGCCAGGAGGACGACGACGAGATGCCAGCCGTTGACGAGATGGCCAAGAATAGGTTGACGCTGCCGGACAGGTCAACAGGGAGGATCGAAACCGCCTGACGACGCCTAGCGACGAGGCCCTCGGTTACTGCTGGATGGCTGCCGACAAGCTGATGACGATTGTTTTGCATTTTATACCCTTTTTTCATTACAAAGCACGCTCATGTTCTCACTGGAAGGGAAGCGACAGGAGCGTGACCAAAAAAGATAAGACGAAAAAACTGAACGGGAAACTTGAGGACGATACAGGACAAGAGGTCATGGCCTAGAGAAAGACGCGAGTTTGGCAACGAACAATCCCCTTTCCTTGAATGGTTCCCAGGTTGCACGGGTTGACTTTGGCTCGAGTTTTGACGATTTTCTCAGTTGCTTGCTTACTTGCTTGCTTGCTTGATTTGCTTTGATTTGCTATCGAGTTTTGGTTTCTTCGTTTCTTTGGGGGGTTGATGATTTTTTTTGTCCGAAAAGCAGCGGCTGCAAAGCCGCCGCAATGTTGTAATCGGTCGGTCACTTTGTGTTTCCAGGAAAGACGGATAGCCTCACGGCACCACATGGTTCTGTTTTTGTTTTGATGCCCTCGGAATGCCCTATGTACGTTGCACCCATATGATTTTCCGGCTTCTCTTGTCGCCCTCGGGGGCGATGATGGGGCTCAGTTTTGTGTTTTTACGGAGGCTTGGATGGTTGTGTTTCTTGACTATGAGGTCAGGCGAGTCGCGCAAGCGAAACAGAAAAGCAGCTCAGCTCAGCTCAGTTCATGGGACGGTCAGGCACAGGAGCGCGACTGGAAGAAACAGCTACGGAAGCTATGCTATGGATGATTGGGAAATGAATGGTTGGGAAAGGAAAAGAAAAGGGAACAGGCAGCTGGAGAACGGGGACGGGTGGCTTTGTTGAAGTTTTGTGCTGTGTTATTCGAGTCGAATTTTTGTCTAGTGTAATCGAGATATTGATCAGCCAGAAAAAACAGCATTGCTACGCGTGTCTACTAACTAGGATTTGAAGCTATCGTGAACAGTAGGTGAAGTGAAGCTGGAGCTAGGTACGCAGCCTGGCTGGGAGTAGGTTGCCAAGGTGGAGGGTGTGAAAGTAGTTGATATCAAGGGTGTGATTGGCTGCATGCACGATCAATGGTGTCTATGTTTTTTTCTTATTGTTTTGATTTTCTCTTGGTTTATTATTATTGCTTTTTTCCTTTTTCCATTTGACAGTGAATGGCTCGATCTCTAGCCGTGAACTGGCCGGAGCAGATGGAGAGAGTCGGACGAATGGTATCCAATGAATGGCTCGAGGTTGGGAAGCACAACCAACAGACCAGAAAGAAGCACAGCACGCACAGCGAAGGGAGGGGGAGGAGAGGGAGGGGAGGGGCGCAACAGACAGGCAGAGAGCAGGGGTGTTGGTGGCCATGAGGACGGACGATGCCAGGGTTGGACAAGGGCCATGAAAGAAGAGGGGAATGAAGACAGTGAGAGAGGAGAAGGGGGCAAGCTACGCACGCAAGGCCAGGATGGAAAAAGAGGGCCAGGGACCAGGGCAGACCCAGGGCAAGCCAGGGCCTCTACAGTAGGGGGTGAGGGTCCACGCAAGGTCGTCATGTGTCACCCGAAGACTCCCGGCGGCTGCGCGGCAGATACCGTGGTGAGATTTGCAGGGGTAGGGATGGTACAAGAGAGTACAGTACGAGCAATTGAGAGTGTTTGGGTATGGCGATGGGCAGGGGGACACGACAGGCGAGGAGAGAAGAAACAAGTGTCGAGGTGGTAATAGAAGCGGGAAGGGCGTCTATTGTTGCTGCTTGTCACGCATGCGCTGGTTGAGCTAGCACGTATGTACCAGTCCGGTTCAGGCCAACAAGACGTCGAGAAGCATCTGGACGGCGACATTCAAGATGGGGCGGGCGGCTCGGGAGGGGGCGTGGCAGGGAGAAGGAAAGAAAGAAAGAAAGACGGCAAGGGAAGATGAAGGAAATAATCCACATGGCCTGGCCGTCCGTGGTGCCAACTAGGCAGCACGTAGTAGCAGTACTGTACGGTACGAATGCATGGAGAGGACGGGATGAAAAGGCGGGAGGAGAGAGCCTAGGCCAACGACTACTAGCTGCCTTAGTTCGATGAGATGGAGGCAATATACTACATTAGCTAGACGAGACAATAGCTAAAGGCTGGCTGGCTGAAAGAGAGTCTTATTAACTACTCAGATGTCAATACAAGCCATGACGGGCATTGTCAAGCGCCCCATGTCAACGCCAGGCTGAGGCGGACGATTAGGTTGAAGCACTGCATACACGCTCCCACCCCCTGGAGCTTTTTCCTTGGATGGAATTCCATTTCCAACGTCTTTTTTTTTTGTGGCTCTCACGCCGCGTGCACTCCGGCGCTCCGTGGTGGATGGTCCCGGGGCCCGCCCTGTCAGTTGAGCACTGTACATACATTCGTAGAGAAGAATGGAATGTTGGTGCTCAAGGGGGCGTGTGAGTGTGATTGTTGGGCTCGTTTGCATCCAAGAGAGGGAGGGGAGGCAACAGGGGACAGCGCAGGACGGGAGAGGCACATGACCTGGAGTCGATGTGTTCAAGCGAGACAATGTCTTGGGGTGGAGGGGAGGCTGGGCTGGGCTGGGCTGGGTGGTTGTTGTTGGTCTGAGCTGAAGATTTTGGACAAGGTTGTTGTTACTGCTGCTTGACTTGACTTGACTTGTCTCTTGTTGGTACTGTACGTTTTTGGGGGTGTCAATGAACAGGGCACGGTTGGGCTTGGGATTTAATCAACTTGAGGGTTATTAACCTGCGAGACTCGTTCGACAGACATCTTTACCACAACTAGATGAAAAAGCGTGGCCAGTGAAGGGGGGATGTCTTGCTTTTACTTGGAGTGCAGCATGGTGGACAGGTACTGTACTGTAGGTACCAAAGGTAATTAAAAAGAGACACTCGCCTCAGGTACGAGCCGTAGCCGTAGCCGTAGATTGCCGCTACAACACCACATCTGGTCAAGTAGTAGGTAGGTGTGCATTGGCCCGAGCGGGTGTAAGCCTGAAGCCCGAGCTTAGCAACCTGACCAAGATGGTTCAAAGTCACTGTCTACAGAGAGGGAGAATCAATCAGAGACCTTTGTACGGGTGTGTTTTTCTTGTTCTCCTCGATCCCGATTCTGGCAGCTGTTGCCGTCTCCTTTTCTCCTCAGGTTCCCCCCTTGCTTGTGATGCATCACAATCCCAGGGACCCGTTTCCCAACGGCGGTGTCTCTGGCGTGTAGCTTAGGGCAGGGCAAGGGTTTAGTCGTACGCCGCCGTTGCTTTCAGAAAGAGTCCGGTATTAACAACAAGAAGGGAGGCACGCGAAACAAGGGGAGGAGGAGGGGAAGGGGAGGGGCCCGGGCCTGATCTGGCGGCCGGCGCCGCGATGAGGGGGAGGAGCCTCTTTTTTCCTTTTAGCGAGGGAGGCACCATGCGAGTGAGAGCCAGGCAGAACAAACGGCGAGGCGAGAGGGGGTGTGTGCGTGGGAAGTGTGAGGAGAGGCGGTAAGGTTTTTTTTTTCTCCTCTCTCTCGCCTGGGCTTGGCGGATGAGACGGGCGCTATTGGAGAGGGGGAAAGACTGGTTTGACAAGAGACGAGATGAAGAAGGGAAGGAAATGGCCCGTGGTGGATTGCACTGTACGGTTGCTTGCTGGGTGAAACTGTGTTGGTTGGGCATGAAGGGGGTGGTGACAAGTTTCGAGTTGGTCCATGTAAGTGATGCTTCATTCATCAATCAAGATTGGGCGACGACAAGTTGGTTGGTCACGATGTGATTGTTCACCTCAGGCCATGTTTGTCTTTTAGTTCCAATTGATGCAGATACGCCAGGCGAGGCTGGAAAAGAGCAGAAGCGGCATCGACGGCAAGGCCAGCGCTGACAGCCTGGAGGTTGCTATGCATGACTCGAACTGGCTGTTGGGCAGCATTGACTCGGCGAGAGCCTTGTAATCTGACATGTTAATCTTTCACCACAGTATCACATGCACTGCGGACACGATGAGCAAGAAAAAAAAAGGGGGGCGGAGGATGAATTAGTTTCTGGTGATTGTTGAGTGAATTGAACTTGGAGCGAAAAGGGGGGATGCTAAGCACTGTTGGCGATGAAGTTTTTTTCACCCACACGGAAGACGATAGAGTTGAGGCGGACAGGAGCCGTAGAAGTGAAACTATGCTCCAGAGTAGAGTTCCTGGGGTGCAGCACAGCCCGATGACATTTCCGTTCCCGTGTGTCATCCAAATGTTGATAATCAAAGTAGGCGAGGCATTTGATGAGTGCACATTCAGGCAACCAGGGGCGGTGGGAGAAAGGTTCGCAATGTTTCTCCAAAAAGGTCCGACTTGTGATTAGAGACTTGAGAAGGAAAAAATGGACGGCAGAATTTGTGCCGAGATTTTGTTTCTCATTTAGAGAGCCGTGTCGAAAAACAAAAAAACACGACGGACCAGAAAAGGGGGGGCGTGTTTTGTCTCTGATCTACGAATGTTAATTGATGACGGGAGGGAAACAAGGGAGAGAAAAGAGGCAGAATGTGAATCATGGACTAGGCATCGTCCCGACGGGAGCGGGAGCGCCTTCCGAAACATTTTGACATGAAGGGAGGAAGAGAGACAAGTGTCTGAGACAAGTGAGGCGATGCGAGGCTTTGGAACTCGAAAGGTTGGGCGGTGCCTGAAACCAGCTGCTGGAATGCGGAAGGGATATGGCATGCTACGGTAGATATCATCGTGGGAGTGTATAGTAGCTGGGTAAGGTATGGAGATGATATTAAGATGACTTGGAAAAAGGGGGGTAGGTTTCGGTAGTTTTACTATCGTGATGACCTACTCTTTGGTGTTTTCTCCCCCCCCAAACACCACATCACCAGATATCGCGCGCCCCCTTCCCCGCGCCGAGACTCCTCTAAATCGAAATGTCTGGAATGTAGATCTCGATACGGGGAGTCGATTAACCTCATCGGAGAGGCGCGGACTGTTCCCACATGCCCGGAAATCGAAACGCAAAGTCTAGAAACTATCTCTACCCCCTCTCTCGATCTAGGCCAGATAATCGGGACGCATCGAAAGCCTCGGCTCGCTCTCTCTCCCTTTGATCAAATCTATACGGGGCGTGTGGTTTACTAGAGGCACAGCAAAAGACTAACGCCTGTTGACCCGCGCGAGTCTTGTCTTGCTTCTTTCTCTATCTTGCTATTCTTCTCTCTATTGTCGTTCAGCTGGACAGGGAACGGACGACGACGAGGTGTGCCGTGTTTGTGGATCTCTCTCTCCCGCGTCGAGACCGCAAACGGCTTTTGGAGGCGCTGGAATGTAGGTGACGTCGAAGAAAAGCTCTTAAGCGAGGCTTTTGTTGTTTGTTTTTGTTTTTGGCGATGGCTTCGATTTCTTTCCTCGGGGAGACCGAAGACACGGGATCGAGAACGGAGGTAGTGGGGCTTTTCGTAAAACGAAATAGGAAAAAGAGAGCGGGCAGAAGTTATGATGATGTTGTTGATGATGATGATGTGAAGGGGAGGATGGAAGGTGCGAATGTTGGAACCTTCCCGCCTCCGGGGACGGGACGTCACGGGATGACGGGCTATCCTGCTCTAGAGGAAGGAACCAACACCACGGGCAAAGTTGATTACTGGCAACTCCCATTATCTCCTCCAAACCTTGAACTCTTTCATGCATCCAAAGAAAGACGCGTCGTGCGTTGATCAAACTCCCCGCCACCTTCGGCATCACCGTCTTTTCGTTCTCGACTCCTCCCCCCTTACTACATCCGGCAGAAGGAGGGGGAAAGGCCGTCTGCCATCCCGAAGCCCAATCTCGTGGATCACACGAGGTAGGAGAACAAAGAAGGAACTGCTAGAGGCTGATCTATCTTGTAGACTTTGACGCCACTGGCTATTTTGCCTTTGGGTTGTTTTCTGCCTCTTGGCCTTCTAGGGCTGATCATTTGACTAACTTGGGAGACGGAAAGGATTGTCCTCGGCTGCTTTGGCACTCCTCCCGCGTTCCTGTTGTGCTCGTTGCGAAAATTCGTACGTAGTACACACATCCCCAAGGAAACTCTGGCTTCAAAGAATGGAAGTTGTCGTTGGAAGCGTGGGCGGGACGTTCCGAGTCGGCCGTTGTGCACACCTCTTGCGCCAGGGACGAGGAGTCGACGACATCATTGGCGGTTTGATGATTGGATTCGTTGAAGTATCGGCGAGTTGTGGCTTTGCTTGCGTATACTTTGGACTCTGATCAAGATGTGATGGCTAACAGGTGGAGTGTGAACGTTTAGAACCGGTATTCGATCTTCGAAACTCTTACCAAGTCTGCTTGGAGCGTTAGATGGCCCGTTGAGAGGAACATGGCCAAGTTGGCTGGTTTTGTCGCGAATACCTGGCAAGAACCATCACTCGAGTGCCCCCTGCGCCACCGAAATGATATACTTCGACCCAAGACTTCGAACGAACGGGGGCGACTCCGAAACGAACGATGTGTACAAGGGCTGAAAGATTGGCAGACGAGCTAATTTGATATACAAGAGCAGGAGCATGAAGAAGAGAGGAATGGGGGAGCACAGAAGAGTTGTTCGGAGCTGGTTGTTGGGCTGTCTTTCTCCTTTGGCGTCGTTGGATTTCGACTGGGACAGTCATTGCGCACGACTATCTGAGCGAACTGGACCCTTGGCCTTTTCTAGTGACAAGCTTTCGACAATTTGAGTTGTGGACAAGTTCGGCAGGTCATGGTGCAAGTGCCAATGCCACTGAGCCGCTCTCTGTTGCCGAGCACATTTCAGAAACAACGAGTGTTGTGCCTGTTCAAGACTGGTTGTTGCCGCTCATACATGGCATAGCTGGAAGTTGGCCCGTTGTTGCTGGTCTATATGGGCTCCACATTTGCAGCTGAGCAATCAACTTTCGGTGCTGCTTCATAGTTGAAGCTGGAGCTGGTTGAAGGCGCTTGGAGAAGCTGGTTTGATCGCTGTCGGGCCGTTGGAACGGGCTCTGGGAGCGAGCATTCCCCTCTGCTGCATTTGCTGTTGCAAGGCGCAGAGAGACTGGGCGACTGAGAGGCTCTAGAGCAAGCCCACGTGGTCTGGCGTCTCGCTGGGGGCATCCCGAGGCACAATATAGTCAATGAAGCTATGATCCAAGTGCCCGTCTATGTGGTTGCTTGTCAACAGCTTCTTTGGACCAGCACCACTCTCTCTATTCTTTGCATGGCCTTCAGATCTACCATCTACTACCATTCCTTTGTTTGATTCTTCTGGTCCACTACTGGTCCTTCTGGCTCCGGCCAAATTCACAGTGAGGCCCCAAGCCTACCTTGGTCCCCCCTGCAACTCGCAACACCCACGCAGAGACTGCGCTGGTGGTATCTGGGCGGTCGAGCTCGTTACAGCGTCAACTCGTTGCCCTTGTCTCATTGCGCTCCCCAGGTTCCCACTTTGGCACGTCTCGCTTGAGCCATTCCTCGTCGCCTCAAAGAGGCTAATGCGGGCAGGGCAGCGGTTGGGCCGGGCCGGGGGTCCGGGGAGGGAGACGCTCCACACTGTGTGAGGGGTCAGGATCTGGATAGGGACGACGGGCATCGTTTCCGGGCCAAAAGATGTTGGATTTGCGACTTGTTTTGGAGCCTGGACGTTGGGCGAGGGTCGAGGCTGAGCCTGTCGGCCGTGATGCATCGTGAGGGTTGGAAAGGCCCAGCATTTGCGGGAGAGAGGGACGGGAAGGGCCGCGCGGGTGGGAAGGGATGGACCAACAGGCGACAGGGGTTTGGCCTTAGTACGGACGAGCTACGCGAGCAGATGGAGCCAGGAGTTTATCGGGTGTCAAGGGGAGGGGAGAGGTTTGACACTGTCTGTGTTGGGAGAGTTGATGGCTTCTTGTGTGGCTAAGCGACTATTCAACTTGGAGTCGTCAACTCTGCACATTGGGATGTTATTTGTGTTGCACATGGATCATTTGCTTCAGCTGGTCATTCTCCAGCCAACATGGTCTCGTGGTCAGACAGCTCCCGTCCTTGGATATCTGGATGCTGATCAGTTGAGGCATCGTGTTCACGTCCAGAGCCTCGTTCAAGGACACTGTCTTGTTACACAGAATCAAGCCGCCCTTTGCTAAGCAGCAAATCTCGTATTCACGGGTTCTTGATAAGCCAATCACGGTTTGCGGGCAAACTCGACTCCGAATGTGCATGCGCCCGAGAGGAGAGGAGAGGAGAGCTGAAGCTGAAGCTGAAGATGGTTCCTCGATCCAGCCATCTTGTCTTCTGCATCGCTTTTTCGAAATGGTCGACCTTATCGCTCAAGACCGCCTCCAGAGGGAGCGCGACAGCTTCATCGAGACGATTGACGAGTCTTCGATTCAGCGACTCGCGAGCTCGTACCACGACGGCGATGAGTGTGACTTCTTTCAGCCGCCCAAGTGCGGGCGCTTTGTCATGTCCTACTTTGTGCGCTTCCCCAACGGCGACTTGTGGGTAGTGCGCGTACCTATTTCACCATGCTTGGCCTTTGACGCCCAGCAGTTGGTCGAGAGAGAGGTGGTGACTATGCAGTTGAGAGCTCCCATCTAGTTACCCCCCTTATGAGAACATGGTTTAACGGATGGGCTTTGTGACAGTTTGATCGCTCAGACGACAATCCCGATCCCGAGGGTCATAGCACCGAATATCGACGAGGAGGAGGACGCTGATATCCCCCCCTTTGTCATCCTCGAGTACGTCGAGGGCACGCCGCTCTCGGACGTGAGAATCCAGGGCCTTTCGGTTGAGCAGAAGGCTACTTTCTATCAAGACCTTGCCAACATCTACCTGCAGCTGCGCGGCCTCACGTTTTCAGAGATTGGAGCTCTCGCCTTGAGTGATGAAGACGAAGTCGACGTCCTCCAAGGTCCCGTCTCCCCAGAGTTCAACCTGCAGCAGCTGGCAGGCCTGCAACCCGCGCTCGTACGCGAGGTCCGCGGCCCTCGAGGCCCTGTACGCACAGCCACGGAATACGTGTCTATACTGCTGGCCATGTCATGGAATGTTTTCTACAGCAGCCCTGCCGTGACCCAAGACAAGGTCGACGCCGAGCAGACCCTGTACTACCTGTTCCAGTTCGACCGCTTTGTGCGCAAGAAGTGGTTCGACGAGAGTCTGGACCACGAGCCCTTTGTGCTCTCCCACGGTGACCTTGTTGACCGGAACATCATTGTCGACGATGATATGCACATCGTTGCCGTTCTGGGCTGGGAATGGAGTCGTGTCGTGCCTCTGCAGCTTTTCAATCCTCCCCTGTGGCTCGTCAGCAACTCCCCTGAGCTCCTCGCTTCGCGTCAGTTTTATCAATACCACGTCGAAGAGCTTGACAAGTTCATGACCATCCTGCGACAGCGAGAGCAAGCTCACTTTGGCGGCATCCACCTCGCCGACGAATGGCAAGACATCCACCGGAACGGCGGGCTCCTCGTTGCAGAGGCCCTAGAGAAGATGGACCTTGAGATCATCTTTTACTTTGGGTATCGGTTCTGCGATGATTCGCAGGTGCCGACTACTTTCTTGCGGCAGTTCATGGAGGATAGCCCGGCGAGGGTTGATATCGTGGCTAGCAAGGTGCGCGAGGGGGAGATGTATGACTTGGAGTGTCAGCATCGGAGGCTGGGGGAGTATTCGGCGTGAATCTCGAGTGAGGTAGTTCTAGGGGATTTGAGGATTTCGTCTTTTCTGTTCGCTTGAGTTCGTTGTTGGTTATTGGAGGTGCTGCATACTTGCTGGAACCGCGAGATGGGAGTTTTATTTTGGGGGAATGGGATGAGAGGGAGTTTATGTGGGCTTGATAATGATGGACACTGCCAGGGGCGATCTCGGAGGTGAACCCGCCGGTTTTTGAATCAAGATACTGGGGTTATACTCTCTGAGGAAGAGGAATTGTCGTGAATTGGGATTCTGGAGGCTTGGATCGGTTACTGTTTTTTTCGTGTTGTTTTTTTCCTTATTTCTGGCCGCTGCTCGATGGTTGTTAGGTGGTTTGTCCTTTGGGTCATGGGTAACGAGTTCAGCGAGAATTACACATAGGCAGATCAAGAGGAGGATGGACAGGATTGGACACGTCGGCGCATTGGGATACCAAGACACGAGAGTACAAGTGTAAATGGAGGATATGGTCATGATGGAGAACAGGACAGAATGACAAAGGTGAGAAGTGGAGGGAATTGGGAGGTGAAAGGAGGACCCTCGCTTTTGCTCACAGTTGAGCTCAGTACGCATCCATCTTTCCTATCATTGAGGATTCAAAGTACGCCAGAGGATGGATTGCTTCAAGGTCCAGAACGATACGACTGACTCGAGTCAAGGAATCACGCTCGTTGGGCCTGACAAGATGGTCTCGGTCGGACATGGGAGCAGATATTGGACATGCCAACTCGAAAATTTGACACACATTCATAGCTTAGGTAGAACTTAGGATAAGAATAACACAAAGAGTTGGAAGATACTCTACAAGGTAGTGATTATAATTGTAGAAAGACTGAATAGAGACTGAGTATCCTGTCATCTGGGAGATGGCGAGGAAGCGACACCAAAACAGCATCAGCTCATGGAAGTCACGTACATGCGCTTACTGTCAGGAGAGTTCTTTACATGGCACAGCCATCGCCTGACGATTGTCATGATTGGGGAGAGGTATCATTGCACGGTCTTTGGCTACGAGTATAAATTGCAGTAGCGATTTCTTAGTCGTTTAATCTCTCGGCCCATTCGTCGATTGCAAGGCAAGGGCTCTTGGGGCTGCCTTTGACGGAAGTATGGCTGCTGCTGCTGAGAAGAAAGAAGCTGATGCTGGCGATGGCGATGGCTTCGGCCGGGTTGGAAGCAGCTTTCGCTGTACCATGCCGTTGAGGAAGTCGGGCCTCGCGGCGAAGCTAGCAGCTTGGGCTCGTCAACCAGCCAGTAGCAACTTTTCCTTGGCTAATTGATCAATTGATCCCGTCAATTGACTACCTACCCTATGTGACGGGGAGGTTTGAGGTGCCGGCTGCAATTATGTGTCGAAGCACGTGATGGAACCGTGAGATGCCACTCTCGTCCTGGCAAAACACGGCAATCATCCTGTTTGTTTACTTTGCCTCTCATACAATAACAACAACAACAACATCATCATCATCATCATCCTCTTCACATCATCCTCATCCTCATCACTGCCTCTCATACAACAATAACAACATCGTCATCATCACATCATCACATCATCGCATCATCATCATCATCGCACGACCTTTCTACGGCCTACAAGAGTGAATTCATACCGCCATGGACGAGCTTGAAAAAGTGCGACAGGAGCTTGAGCAAGCCAAGGCGAGTCTTCAAGAAGTCGAGAAACACACTCGAGAGCTAGAGAAGCTCAACCTAGAAGTCGAGAAAGACAATCGAGAGCTAGAGAAAGACAATCGAGAGCTAGAGAAACACACTCGAGAGCTTGAGAAAAACACTCGAGAGCTAAAGAAGCGCAATCTAGAATTCAAGAAAAACACTCGAGAGCTTGAGCAAGCCAAGGCGAGAGGTCGAGAACTGGAGAGACGCGTCGCATCCCTGAAACTTGGCGACTTCCTCAAAGAATGCCACACTCTGGCCCTGGCACTGGTCCCCATCACTGAGAGGCCTCTCACTACGCAGAGTGAGACAACAACCAAGCCTGCCGGCCGACTGCTGCACCCCTTGCGCATTGTTCCGTGGAAGAACTTCCCGGCCATGCAGGCCCATGTCTGGGACACACTCACGGAACATACCTCTTTCTTTGACAAGGCCGTGTTCCCATCTTTAGAATACCTGGAGCGGCTCAAATCAACCCTCAAACCAGTCAGCAGTGAGATGACCTTGCGAACTTTTCAATGCAAGACTGTTGAGGATTCCGTTTGCATGATCATGGCTGCCGTCCACAACGACCCCGAAGCGAGGGAGCATCTCGGCCTCCGGGGAACCATGTCATTCATCGACGATACGAATTTTGGCAATAGCGCCTCCCCCGAGGCGCCGACCGAGCAGCAACCAAAGCGGATGAAGAACTGCCGGGCGGATCAGCTCTGCATCTACCAATCCTCCTCCGAGGAAAAGGTGCCAACTTTGGCGATCGAGTATAAACCACCTCACAAGTTGACTCGAGATGAGATCGTCACAGGGTTGGTCGGCGAGATTCAGCCGGCTCGCGATGTCATCAACAAGAGCACCGAAACCTTCACAGATGCTGCCAAGCGACTCAGCGCTGCTGTCATAACTCAGCTCTTTGCATACATGGTTGACAAGAAGCTGCGGTACGGATTCGTATGTCAGGGCGAGGCGTACATCTTTCTCCACATATCTGACGACGACCCTTCTCTGGTTTACTATTTCGTTTCTGTGCCGAGTCTGGATGTTCCGCCTGGGAGCGACAAACCTCCAGCCATTTATCAAACAGCTGTTGCCCAGGTCTCTGCCTTCATCATGCAAGCCATCAATTCCCAGGCGCCGAGCCAGCATTGGTGTGACCAAGCTGCTCGGCTCCCTCAATGGTGTGTGGAATACGAGATGGAGGTGCATGACATTCCGTCCACCATTCGCTCAGATACAAGCGCAGCCGTGGAATACACACCACAATCGTGGTCTGACATGTCCTTCGTTCTCTCACAAAGCGACACATTGGGCAACAACCGAGCCACCATCAACGAACGCCCTTACTGCACCCATGACTGCCTGAAGGGACTCGCTTTTGGCGGCCCGTTGGATCCCCAGTGCCCCAACGCTGCAGACCATGGGCATGCCCACCTTGGCATTGAGGAGTTCCTTTACCGCACGCGTGAGCAGTTGGCTAGCGACCGTGGCGAGGACGCTGACTGCACACCACTCCACGTTTCGGGCTCGCGTGGGTCCCTTTTTAAACTGAGGCTATCTTCCCGTGGCTATACCCTCGTGGCCAAGGGCGTAGAGGCTGCAGATAGAGATCAGCTACTCCACGAGAATGAGATATACAACCATCTCCATGACCTTCAGGGTCGGTTTATCCCGGTCTGCCTCAGTACGATCGACCTCATTCTCCCGTACTACTACGACGGCGGCATTTATATTCACTTCATGCTCATGAGCTACGGCGGGCGCCCTGTGCTCTATAGATTGGAGAGTATCAAGCCTGCGATTGCCGAGAACATCACGACTGCCCTGAGCCGCCTGCATGAGCACCGAGTTTTGCATCGCGATGCTGAGCTCCGCAACGTCCTCTACGATGACCGTACCGAGAATTGCATGATGGTTGATCTGATAATGTCAGAGGTACACATGCGGCAGCCTCCAGGCTTTGCGAGGGAGATGCAGAGCCTGCGTGGCATTCTAAACCGCCACATCAAGACCACGGTATCGGCCTGAGGAGCTAGCCGGTATCAAGTACTCCCACTGCGGCACTCTACCATACGAATGAGGCTGGAAGGGCGAAATCTGCTTCCAACCCAGCCGAAGCCATCGCCAGCATCAGCTTCTTCCTTCTCAGCAGCAGCAGCAGCCATACTTGCTTTATGGCCATAGGCGCTTCACTAAGGCTGCTAGGTTATTTTCTGGCCTAATTAGTTAATTAGCTAGGGGAATTATAGCTAAAAATGGTATCTGTGGTTAAGCTATGGCTTTGGCCTATTGGCTTTTCCCTTCCTTTCCTATGCGGGTGATGGGGGCTCTGGGTCAGGCTATAGGCGCTCTTTGCGTTGCATCATCCTTGACTGCTCTAAGACTGCTACTGTATAAAAATGTGAAGATATACTGATGAACATTTACCAAGGGTAGCCTCAGTATGATGCCAGCGGAGGATCCACTCCCTGATTGACACTGCGCATAGGTAGGCAGCTCGAAGAGAGAGCTGCGGCGGGCGAAGCTGACTGGCACGAAGGCCAAAGGTATCTGAAACCATCATGGAATTGGACTTCCCCCGCGGCTTGTATTCTCCACGCACATCTCCTCCCGTACCGCGATATTCCCGGTCCAAGCATCATTCTCGAGGATAAAGCATCTTTCGGCGTAGATGCCCATTTCGTTCTGCCTTCGCCATGCGCTGCTTAGTCTCCGGACCATAACACGCCTCCAGCCCCCGACATTAATGGTAACCTGCTTCCAAGAGACGGAGGAATTCATTGCATGTTTGCCTTGCATGAGAAGTCGAAAAGTCTCCATCGCTGCTTCGTAGTCGTAGTCGTTTCCGGGAGCGACATCTTCAAAAGGTTGGACCACCGTTTGGACGTGGAGGGTCAGGGTATGGAGTTCCGGGAAAGCACAAACGGCCCGCAAGAACGCTGTCGCATTGCACATTCTCACGTCCATATCAAGTTCGAGCGTGTGAACAGATCTAAGCCGTTGCGAGAGCATCGCCAAGTCGTTCGGTAGCAAGGTCGGGCACCTTTCGTCATCCTCACAGAACCCAGTGTGATCCCGGAATCGAAACACTCGTAGTGAGCGTTGATGCTTTATGATGGCATCCAATGGAAAGAGCTTGGTGTGGCAAGTAATGTCCAAAACCTCGAGCGCCCTAATGTGATTCTTAATGAGTAGATAGAGTCCAGCGGTGGCATCCTCTCTCTTGTCTGGTAGGTGGGCGCTGTAGTCTTCCACTTGCAGCGTGTGAAGTTTCGCAAAGTCCTTGAAAGACACAGACCTCAGAAAGTGAAAGACTGGCACGGAAACCAGTTCGAGGGACTCTATCCGGGAGAAGTCCCAGTGTTTCCGAACATCCTCCGCTGTGTGGTTCCAGTCGTATGATCGTAGGCGCAGGTTGGTAAAGGCAGGCATGCAGTCTGTCGGCAGAAAGTTGAAGCATGTGCCCTGTCCGCGGTCCTCATAGTGGAATGTCCTGAGTTGTGAAGCCTGGACAAGAAGACTCTTCAAAGAGCTAAGTCGAGTAGACAACGCTGGAGTCGGGTTTGCCAGCCTCAAAGTCGTTAGATGCTTTGCGGGGATGGCTTTTGTGTAGACATCTCCCAGATTGCTGTCAAAGTTTCTCATGGGCAAGTCTTCAACGTGGAGTTTGGTGCCCCTGAACTTGGCGTCATTCGAGCTTAGAAGATCAGAAGGCAGCCAGATGCCAGCGGTGTGTATATCGCCGTCGATGTATTGCCAGCTGCCAGTGAACCTGTCAGCGGAAAAGTAAAGTTGCAGGGACAATGTCAGTACCGAATGGAGCTCAACCTCCTGATACATGATAACACCCTTGAGATGCCATCGGGGTCCAGGTTGCTTGGAACGACGACATGGTTTGTGTGAAGAGAAATGTGATCAAAGACATTGGGGTACCGTTGATCAGCGTCTGGAGCGACGAGATGCTCGTTCAAAGTCAGGAAGCGGTAGGCCGTAGGTGTGGCTATGGCATCGAACCTCTTTGAGATTAGACGCACAGACAAGACGGACCGCGCATCAATATCCCGAAGCTAAACGGAGCTATTAGTGAGGGGCTATCACATGGAAACAGGGGTCTGTAAGAGTCTATACCTGTTCGAAGATGAGAACCAGGAGCTCCGAGCTGAGCCGGTTGAAGGAAGAGTGTAGAGAAGGAGATGTCCTGGATGGAGCGGCCATACGTCGAGGAGTGCTGAAGGAACAAGAGAAGCGAGCACTGGTTGGAGGATTGAGGTAGGAGAGGGTAATGGAGGGTGTTGAAAGCATGAGTTCGGTTGAAGAGGGCATGGTTAATTAAAAAAGGACCAGTCAAGGTAATAAAGAAGCAACGAAATAGTTGTGGGCAAAGAAGAGGAGGAGGGACCCAGTGTAGGTATAAGTCGACTGCTGGTGGTGGTGGGTAGACCGCGTGTAAACTCTCTTGCTCATGGATGACACTAGACTTCTTGGGGACAAAGTAACGAAGGATGGAAGACGGTCAAGCTCGATGCGGGATGAGAAGCGGCGTGGCTCTCTAACAAGTGGAGGGCCGTACTATCAATGCAGTTCCGAGGCGACGGAACTATAGCAGGGTTGGTTGCCAGGATGGACGGGCAAGCCAAAGTCGGGACGAGTGGAGTGCTATCTGACAGGGTTATGTACATGTACTATCCAGCCTACCTAGGATAGGAACAAGGACGAGTATATATGCATGCCCGTCAAGCAGGTTGTGAGCAGCTGGGGCGTGGGATGGGATGAGATGGGGGCAGGGGACTGAAACGAAAGAAGAGGGTGAGAGAGCATTGGCATCTCATGGAACAGACATGGACCAAGCCAGGTAGATGAAGGGAGAAGCTCTGACTCTCGAGCACCACCCACGTCGGTCCGTCTTGGGGTAACCCAACGAACAGACGGGGACGGACGACCTGAGGGAGCCTCGAGCCTTGTGGAGATGACGGAGCCGCCCAAGCCAAGGGGACCAAGATCGGGTAGGCAAGGGTGAGTTGTCTGTGGAGAGAGGCTAAGGCGAAGCCACAGAGTGCAGATGAAGAAGCCAGGGTCTCGGGGCCTGGGTGGGGAGATGACGGAGGAGACTCAGCTGCTGCGATGCGATGCGAGGAGGACATGAGACCGAGGGGAAGGTTAATGGGTCTGGACGAATCGAGAGGCAAAGGCAGAGACATGGTGTGTAAAACGACATCAGGTACAGGGAAAAGAGTCGTGTGATAGTGCGGCGCGAGGCGTCTCTGTCTGTATGTCTGTATGTATGGGAGAGGAGGATGCGAGACAGCCGGTCATGGCGTTGAGAAAAGAGACATTTCCGTCAAGTTCATGTAATCTTCGGCCTCAGGTGTCTTGGAGACCCAGGATGACCATCCATCCTGTCGATATCCATGACATGCTGCAGGCGGGGGGCGGCAGCAGAAATAAGACGACCGTGATATCTCGTGTTGGCAGAGGTCGACGTCAACGTCAACGGCCGAGATGCCGCCAGATCCAACAGTGATCCCAAGTCCAAAATCAAATCTCGCCCACCGACAGATCGACTGTGGCAGCGCACCGAGCTCTGGTACATCGACGCGGTGCGCGGACGAGTCCCCGATCTGGTCATTGGCCTCGCACATGCACACACACACACACAAGAGCCAGACCCTTCAATCTCATGGCCCGTAGTAAGTTCTGATAGACGATTCGCAAGAATCTCCCAAAACGGGAAACTGGGTCCAACTCTGAAGGGAACCGTCGCCCCTCATGGCGTCTTTCTCCGGAGCCAATCGCCCGTGTCAGAACGCCCGCGGCGGCCGGGGGGTGCCAGTCAATCGCATTTCTGCTAGGCTGGACCCTTGTCCTTTTCTTCTTTGATGTCTTGCGGTGCGGCGCGCCATGCCTGCCAACAGACGGACATGGCAACGGTTGCGGATCCCCGGGCCTCTGGTTCTGCAGCGTGCATAGCCGCTGCTCGTTCGGTTTGGCGGTGGGTGGACGGGCATCTCTCCGTCGCCGATGGATGGATTCTTGAACGTCGTTCTAGGTCCGTCCGGGCAGCGGATCCTTGACCTATACCGTACAAGCTGGGTTCTTTCCATGATCTGAGCTGTGGCTTCTTCGCTGATGATGCTGTTTGTTGTTTAGCCTGAGATGCAGCTTGCCAAAAGCGACAATGTTCAATATCTCGTGAGATTTGGTCCAGGTCATGTGAGGAGGGTTTCGTGTCTGTTGGCTCTAACCTCGTCCGTGTTGTTCTGGAAGGAAGCATGGGCAGCACCTGTGCTTTCCTATTCGGGGTGTTCCTTCGACACCTTCAACGTCACCATCAGACACCATCAACTTGCATCATTCATCCTCACCATGAAGCATTAATCAACTCTTACACTAGAGCTTACTTTACCTATGCCGGCAAATATGACCAAATGCATTCGTTCCTACTGTTTCGTTTTGAGGCCATCTTTCTCCGCCATGCGGGTCAGGACTTGCCTCTGCATCCACCAGACAACAGCTTCAAGTCTTGAACTACACTCTGCAACTAGCTACCGTTGTTCCTACATCTCGTATCCCCCCAATGGCGGGGCAGAAGGGGCCACGACGAGATTTGTGAAGCAGACGACAAGTCAAACCCCGTCACCTTGCACCGAAATGTCTGCGTGTTCCCCATCACGTACTCGAAGCTGAGCCTGCGGCTGTCGTGTCACTCGCCAAACGCTGCGCGACGACCATGTATCGGCCACCACGAGCCATGCCGATGCAGATTACCAACATGTGGGATGGGATGAGGTTGAAAAAAGTGTCCAGGGGTATGTTCTTCCCAAGCAGCGGCAAACGCCGTCCTGTCGCAACTTGTCAACCTGCAAGTGTAGGTTTACGATTGTGGATTTTGCAATGGTAAAATGCGACTGGCTCGACAGAGCTGCTGATGGTTGCATTAGGGCTAAAGTGCGAAGTGCAGGTGCCTTGCTACGGACGGCAATCGCATGCAAACTCGTCCAATACGAAAACCAGAACTCGACATCGAGTTATACCTAAACCCGTTAGATATCCCGACTGCTTGTCCCGGCCGACGATCGTTTCCAGCACCTTGGGACCGTACCGCACCGAAGGTGGGTGGGCAGCCTCTTCCCATGTGCTTCCCCCTCTGTCGCCGCCCGAGTCCTTTTCCTTCTGTTTCGTTTTGTTTCGTGTCGTATCGTGTCGTTTCGACCTGTCTTGCTTCGAGGGACAACTTACTCGTGTGCCTCAGGGCTGTCTTAGGATTGCCTGATGTTTCTCATCCAAGGCAAGGTAGGTCTCGGCCCGGCTTGTGCTACTTACTGTGAAGCAGAGGAGCATCCTATCTGTCCTTACTAATAAGACGTCGACCACGCCGTCGAGTCCGAGACTTGCAGCTGCGGCGAGCCATAACAAGATATGCAAGGCCTCCTTGTCCCTTGCCCAACGTTCCGGCCCTTACCGTCGACTGCATTCGAGCCCCAGCCCGCTGGATCATGGGCCACACGGCGTCTAAACACAAGATCATGAGAGTAACCACACCTTGATATGATCCCAGCATCGGTTGAGGGGAACGTATCACTGCTCGTTGGCCGCGTTGGCGCCATAACCTCGACCGTTGCGACTCTGCTGCTACGGACACGGTGAGCTGAAGGTTGGCCCTTCCACCATGACCCCTGAAAGAGATCAAAACTCTGGTGGACAATGCATCGAGGATTACGATTCCTGCTACAGCCTCGGAGACATCAGCGGCAAACTCGACAAAGAGTAAGACAAGCAGAGCAGAAGAAAGTGAGAGAGGGGCCGATGCCCCGATGCCCACACCTTGAACATGGTTAAGGGTAGAGTAACAATACAACTCAAAGAGAACGCTATGGGAATCTGCCCTTTCGCCGCGCCAGCCGCCCATTTCATGCATATACGAGAATACAACGAGTCGATCCAATCCATTATCCCTCTTTTCTCATCTGTGTTTTCTTGTCTCCTTGGGTCGAGCGATCCAGGTTGCTGCCCATGGATCATGGAAGACAACCTCAGGGATGTAATGCAAACAGAGCTGCCTGCATCTTGAAATACCGTCCATCACGCCAAGATTGAGGCCCCCGACTAATATCGGTACAAGGGCTGTTTGTTTGTAGGCGCACTATCGCGGGGCGCATCATAGATATCGTCGTCGTCCGAGACTTCGTCCACCCGCGGTCGTGGGGGATTTTGACTTGTAGGAGCCGGGCTCTGAGCCGACACTCCACCGTGCATCTGCACCTTGCCCACAGCGCTGTCTTGACGACCGATATAGCTTTCAGTCGGCTGGAAGCCAGGATGGAAGGGCTCAAAGGCAAGACGCTGGTCAAGATAATCGTTTGTCGTGCTGGGACCGGGGTGAGTCGATGAACCGCCTGGTTGAGGGTCTGCAAAGGGGTTCTCGACAGACTCGTCGGGTTGTTTGCTCGAACTTCCCTCTCCGGCTCTTGGAGGTGGACCAGGGGGCGGTGTGTATGATTCCGTCTCCTTGCCCTTGCCACTCACGTTGGCGACGTGATCCGGGTAGGGGTAGCCGCCAGATCCTGATCCTGACGGTGAAGCGTGGTCGCTGAAATGGTTGTTGGAGCCATTGGTCTGGGGTTGAGGAGAAACTGCGGGCGACTGCGAGTCGGCTGGTTCTCCAAGGCCCATTTGCTTCCTGGCGTTGAGAACAGCCCTCTTGTGCTGGTTCAATGCTGTCTGAAGCTGCTCGTTGGTGTCGATGAGGTTCTCCATGGTGTCATTGTCAGGGGTCGGGTTCTCGGACACCATGTAACCCTGAATACTTCGAGAAGCACTCGAACACCGGTCGGCAAACTCCTTGATGAGCTCGTTGTTCAGGATCTCGGTGGGAGGCGTGTTCATGACGACTTGCTCGAGGAGCTTGGCCGATGTTCGAGCCTCCTCGAGTCGGCTAGCCAGTTCTACAGGATCAGGCAGCGCCCTATTTGTATGGTGTCTCGCAAAGTAGTTTTGCGAGTGCGGGTTAACAGGAGGGGTGTTGTAGGCCCCTGGAGATCCCATCATCTGCTGAGGTGGTTGTCCCTGACAAACCATGTTAGTCTTGATCTTTCCCAACGGCGCATTTAACAGGCATACCCCGAAATCCTTCCACGCCCTCTCCTTTTCCTTTTTCCACATGGTGATCAGAATCACCAGGCCCTCGTCGTCCATCTTGGTACGCTCAAAGTCGTCCAGGGTTTCCATCAGGATCTGGCGCACACTGGGGTCGCGCACACCCCTGAGCAGCGCGCGAGTTGTGTCGGCAAACTTTTGGTCGAGATTGCGTGTAAAGGTCGAGCTGGGGTTATCGGTCAAGATGCGCATGAGCATGATGGCGTTGTACTGCCACGCAGGTCGCGAAAGGTATTCCTTGGACATGTACTTGCGGATGAGGCGCGCGCATTCCGTGGCAGCGCCCGGCGAGGACTCGGCGGCATCGACGATCGGAGGGAGGAAGAGGACTTCATCGCTCTGTTGCGCGGCGTGTTAGTGGATTGGACACTCGACGGAGCTTCCGGTGTGCATGCTTACCTTGCTGGTGCCTCCAGATTCACAGAATGCTTTCTAAGCTCTGGTCAGCGATGGCCAGAACGGACGATATGGACGGCGAGCTCGTAACATACTACACTGTTGTGAGCCGTGACCTCGGGGGTTCCGGCTGGTGTTGTGCCACTGGGTGGTGCTCCGGAGCCGGAGGGTCCGTCAGAGGTGCCTGTAGATGATCCATCCCATCAGCCGTTTTACTCCATGGTGTTTTGTGTCCGGGACGTTTGGGGTTTCGCCGTGATGCGCGTGGGCACGGGGAGAAACGTACGGTTGGAAACGTTGCTCGCTTTCCTCCTAATGCTGCCGAGCATCTTATTCACGCCGAGGCCCTTGAGAGACTTCATGGCTGCGGTTTCGAGCTCGCGCCACAGCGGGCGGCGCTTGCGGTGGGAAGCGGGTTTTTGGGGGGCGCGCGAGCACGCGGGGGGGAGGAGAGAGGAGAGAGAGTAGAGTCGGTTAGAGGACAGCTAAGGTAGTTGTTGATTTCCCTAGAAGTTCGAATACAGGTATTCGCGGAGGAGGAAGAGGAAGAATTAAGAGGATGTTGAAAGGGAAATGAACGACCAAATAGGGAAAGCGCCGAGGGGGATGCTGCGAGTTTCAGAAGCGGTGATGTTGGTTGGGAGAAGGCCGACGATGGGCTCTGGCTCTTGGTGTTGGAGCGGGCGTCGACTGATTGGAGCGCCGGTTGTCTGGGATTAGCAGGACTGGGGGGAGAAGTCGCAAGGGTCTCTTGTGTCCCTTTGGCGGTGATGAGCGAGGAGGAAGCAATCCCAGACGGTGAGAGAGAGGTGGGAGTTGGTGGTTAAGAGGTAGAGGTTCAAGTGAAGCAAAGAATGCTGCTTCAAGGCCGCCGATCAGTCGTTGACAAGATACAGCCTCTGTAGATTCGTAGGCTCCCTCTAAATTGCCAAGTTTCGGACTTGTCCAGGGTCCGTGATGCGCGGCGCCGTCTTCGAAGAGGTAGGTACCAAGCCCCGTGCGTCACCTTTAAAAGTTGACAGCAAAGGAGATTAGCAAGGGGAGCAGCTTACAAACAATCCCCGAAGAGAAGAGAGTGAGATCCTGTTAGTAGTAACAAAAGTCGAAACTCTTTTTTTCTGACGTCCCCCTCTTCTTGAATAAGTTTGTCTGTTTAAAGTTGAGGCCTCTGATGAAGAACCTACGACTCTCCCCCAAGACAAGACGTCCCCATCTTTTGCTAGCGTCCAGCCGTTGCACAGCCTCATCGCCCTACGCAATCAACCCCTCAGGGAAGCACATGACACTTCACTCTTGGCTCGCCTCTTGATGTGGGAATTGCTGCTTGTCATGTCGATAATAGACTCTTCTTGACGAGAACGCGTGTCGTTATGCTCTAGGCGGTTTAGTAGGGTGGCCCTTTACAATAGACACATGCATAGAGGGTCCGCATCATGCATGCACTTTGATGCTCTGTATGGATGAATCGTAGTTAGCTTCAACCACAAGACGTGATGATGTCCCCCTTCTCCAGACCATGGGACTGGATACATCTGTCCCTCAGTGTTCCCTTGTGACATGGCAAACATGGTGACTTGTCGGCATATTTCTCACAACACTTGTCCTGGTGTTGTCAGGGAGTAGTCGTACACTTCCACACACACGTCAAGAGGCCGCCGTCTACACCTTCACTCCACTCTGAATCAACATTTATCCCTCAGAAAGGATTAGATTGACGCTTTACCGCTATGTCAAGACTCATGGGTCACAGATAACCTCCCCATCATGCTTCCTTGGCACTCGCCTACTGTTGCCCCTCCGCCTCTTCATCTTCGTCATCGTCGTCGTCGTCCTCTGACTCCTCATCCGAGTCCGGTGATATGTCCTCCACAATGAGGTTTCCTGATCTTCCAATCTTCTCTCCCATCGTCACTGTGGCCGTGGGTTCGTACACCACCCGCGGGAGAATCGATGCGATTCGGAACCTGTACTCGTGCTCGTACTCCTCCGGCTCGTCACCTCCTTCTAGGTCCTCCTCTTGCAAAAGTTCGTAGCACTCCACAAAGGCATATAGGTCTTCCATAGAAGCGTCTTGGGGGAAGCGTCTGACGATTCGACCAATGCCTGATTCCTCGGGCATCTTGAGCGCAACCCGCACCACGTTTTTATCGCTGGTGGGAGGCTCGGCCACAATAGTTGTGGCCCTCCATGCTCGCCATTGGTGTCGCTTCTCCTCGAGTCTTATCGCGGCCTCTGCTTCCTCTTGAGCTCGCTTTTCTGCTGCCTCTGCAGCAGCAGCAGCCTCCCTCTTCTGGCGTGCGCGTTCTCGGTCAATAGCCAAAGATCGCTCATATGCAGAATCCTGCTCAGTTCGCAGATTCCTCGTCACCTCTTGTGCGACTCGCTCTGCCCTTACCCCTTCCAGGTCGGCACCGTACTTCTCGATAGCGGCTCGCAACTCTGAGAGGTAGGTCGCCGGCGGCATGGGTCCGACAAGTCGCTTCGCTATTCCCATGCGGGTACTACCCTCCTTGGGAGTGAGACATACCAGGGCCGAGAAGGGGAACTTGGTGCATATATACTCTTGGGCGACTTGATATGCTTCTGAGTCCAAAACGTTTCCTCCCCATAGGATAATGTTATTTGCAGGGTCCTTAATAAAGTCGACCACGTCTGGAAAAAGCAGGGTGTCCTTGACGAAGGATTCGGTATCGTCGTGCTCGGGGGACATTAGCACAACGAGCATAAACTTAAGTTCTTTCTTGGCCAGATCATGCGCCTGGGCAACGCCGCCTTCAAAGAAGGGTAGCTCGTGCTCTCCATATTCTTCCTCAAACTCCCGTTTAAACCTCGCAGCTGTATCTCGCGGCATAAGTGGTCGGCGTCCGTTGGTACCCCGGAAGCCTGTCGATATCCTGCTCGTCACCGCCCGAGGCCGGATAGATGCGGGCAAGAACGACAGCACATATATCAAAGTCCGGAATAAAGTCGAGGCCGCCCTCCAGCCCCAGCCAAACGGTGCAAGAACAAGTCCTATGATCCAGGGCGATCGCCCGGTGACGGGGTTCTGGGGGACGATTCTCGGAGCAGGGTCGGTGCGCTGCCTTGGCGAAGCTCGGGGTGATCGGGTTGACGATGCCAACAAACTCTCTTGAAGGTTCTCGTGTCTCGCCGTCGCCCGAGGAATCTCTTGTTGCGCCGCAGCTATAGGGTCGGGAGCTTCGCCGTCAAAGAATTTGGCAATGGCGATCTGTAAACCCAGAGGTCAGATTGTTGGAGCTTATAGTTGAGGATGCTCGTTTCATACCTGAACATTCCATTCAGACCGCCGAAGAAGCGGAATAGCAGCACTAATTTCTTGATTTGTGACCTGGGTGTATTGTTCGAGGGCCTCTTGCTGACTTGAGGACAACTGTCCCAAGTCAATGTCGGCTTCGGCCATGATGCCGATTTGTGCCCCTCCTCTGGTAAGGGAAATCAGAAATCAGGGGGCGGATGCGCCGGTATAAGTCCTGAATAATTTTGGAGTAGCTGGCGAATATGTAGGAGAATAACTTCGGCTTTGGTGTTTTGTGGTGACACTCGTGACAAGAACCACCTGGACAGTTTGGAGGCGCATGCGAGCAGTCGGCCCGGTGACTCGTTTGCTAAATAGACGCAGTGTATGAGTAAAAGCAAGCCACAGCTCTAACTCAAACGAAAAGCCCAAGAAATGGTTGCGAGTCAGCTACTGACTTTATCCTCTGTATCCGGCGGTCGGATCAAGAAGATGCCCACCGGAAGCTAAGTAAAGCAGTGACGAATGGTGGCATCGGACCGCGTCAAGAGCTACCAAGGTAAAGGTACCGGCTGCGCTGCTTATCGGGGGGTATTCTTCGGGATAATGTATTCTTGGAACGGGCAAGCACGATTGGCGTCATGGCGCGGGGGGTGCATATGTACCTGGCCATAGAGTTTGGCTGAGACAGTACCTCCCGTCTAAGCGCGGCGCTGGGTTGGCTCACGACCTCCCGTCTTGCCTTCTCACCCAACCCAACTAATAAACTGTCTCCGCGCGCGACGGACGGACGACTCCTCCACCAAAACTCCCCCCACCGCCCACATCCACACTCTCTCCATCTCCTGCATATCTTTCTTCCCGACGTCGTCGCTCCCGCTTCAAGAGGCGACGGCCCGCGCCTTGTTCGCCCAGGAACACAGTCCTTGGCTCATCGTCGTTTGCTAAGGCTGTTCCCGTCAGCCCGTCCGACCCCGCCGTTCGTCTCCTTCCTCCATATGGGCGGCCGGTCGCCTCGATCAATTGAGCCATGGGAAATGCTTGCCAGAGTCAAGTCGGTGTTCCTTTCTCTTTGACTGGTCTTTTCTACAAGTTGCGCCTTGTATGGTTCCTTTGCCTTTCACAATCTAGCTTTGCAACCGTCGTCCCATGACGGCACCCATCTCACTCTTGGCTATGCACCCGCTAACATGCACACCACAGTAGACGTCGTAAATCCGACCACGGAGACGGTTCTATCCTCATCACTATATACTACTGACCATGGCGACGTCGCGATACCAACCAGCCGATCTGCGACGCCAGATCGGCTCCCCGAGACCCAAGGGACGCGGTTCGTACCCTCTCGATCCCAACCCAACACCCCGCGATTCCATTCGAGCTGACTCGGCCCTACCAGAGAATAAGGATACACTATGTCGAAACGTGCTCATTTACGGTCACTGCCGATACGAGGATCAAGGTTGCGCATTCAGCCACGACCAAAACAAAAACAATTCAAACTCGGAAACGTAGGTTTATCTTTCGTACTTTGGTCATTTGGTATCCCCAAGAAACACGGCGACACAACGAACCCAGCCCAACCTTGTTTGCCGCCACAAGTTACACAGCCCGCCCATTGACGCCAACACCCGTGTCCCATGTTTTCTGATCCCGCGGCCTGTTCGAGTCGTCCTCAGCTTGTTTAACTTGGGGTTCCTGGGTTCCCTCGAAAGGCGCCGTTCTCGGAAGCATCATCGCTTGGAGGGATGTCGTGTCGCCTGACATATCCGCTCATCGGCCGATACTCGAATGCCCACAAACGCGCTGTTCCGACTGGTCCGTACCGTAGTCAGAGCTCTTGACAATCACTCGTCTCTGCGATCGCTTCTAGAATTGCCCAGACTTGCTCATTGCCTCGATCTGATTCGTCAACCCACATCGTCTTGGGCATTGGCGTTGTGTGTTTTGCAAGCCCTATTCATACTGATGAACGAGATCAATCATTGGGGCACGAGGCATCATGACTGACGAATTATCTAGTTCCAAGAAGACGTTGAACGTTGATTCACCGTCATTTACACCTGCAGGACTCGGCAAGAAGCCCACATTCTCGTCGCAAGCCGCAAGTGCTCCAGCTTTCACTCCACGTGGTTTAGGCAGTACGAATCTCTTCGTCATGACAGTGACATTTGTCCGACTAACAGCAACGTAGCAGCCACCCCTGTCGGGCCCGAGAACGATGGCAGTGTGTTCAATCCTGCGGCTATCCGCGAATTCACCCCAACATTCGACATTTCTGTAGGTCATGACAGCTGTCCGTTTGTTAGTCCGTTCATCCTAGCTAACCAACTATCCAGTCTTCGACAAACGGTTCCGCTCAAGATAGCGGACTATCCTATGACCCTTTTACAATGCCGCCAGTAAATCCAGGCCTTTCTACACCTCAGTTCAACCCCTATGCCGAAGATCACGGCGCCCTCGGCGGCCATGGACCTAGTTATTTCCCGCCGCAAAACGCCTTCACGACACCGGTTGAACCCCTTCAACATCACCTCTACTTCCCTGTTGGCCCGAAGCGAGATGACTTGATGCCGTATCATCGTGTACCGCACGACTTCTTTCTTCCTGAGAAGGAGCGGCAGGAGATTGCAAGGAAGCTTGAGGCTGCCGGCCAAGTTCTTCCCAATTCACAGCTGCCACAACTAGATAACTATCACAACTTGGTTCCCCTGGACACGACACACCGCAAAAACGCCAACATCTTTGGATATCCTAGTTGGATTTACAAGGCCACGGCCACCAAGACCGGTCACATCTATTGCTTGAGACGACTCGAAGGTTACCGCCTGACCAACGAGCACGCGATCAGACAGGTCAAGGAATGGCGCCGCATCAGCAACGGCAACGTGGTTTCGATATTAGATGCATTTACGACCCGTGCATTTGGCGACAGCTCCCTCATCTTCGTTCAGAACTACTTTCCGCTTTCAAAGACCCTTGTCGAGGTCCATCTATCTCCGAACCCTACTCACGGCAACCGTGTGCCCGCAAAAACACCCATTCCCGAGAACACCCTCTGGGGCTACATATCGCAAATCGCCAATGCCCTCCAAGCTATTCACTCAGCCAACCTAGCAGCTCGATGCATCGATCCTAGCAAGATTATCCTGACCGACAAAAACCGGATCCGGTTGAGCGCATGCTCCATTCTGGATGTTGTACAGTTTGACGCTCGCCGGCCAATCCAGGATGTGCAACAAGAGGACTTTATCCAATTTGGCCGACTATTGCTATGTCTCACAACCAGCACGCTACCGATTCATCTTACTAACCTGAAGATATCTATGGAGCAAATGAGCAGGACATACTCTGTTGAGATGAGAGATACCATCTTGTGGCTGCTTACACCACAGCAGCCCCCCGCGCAAAAGGGAATTGACGAATTCGTACGCGGAATTGCCGGCCGGATAACATCCACGTTCGACATGAACCTGCAGGCGTTGGATAAGGTCAACGCAGATGTGATGCGGGAGGTAGAGAACGGCAGGGTGGCGAGGCTGATGATGAAGCTGGCCACCATCAATGAACGATACGAATTCAACGGCGACCAGAACTGGTCCGAGAACGGCGAACGATACATACTCAAGCTATTCCGGGACTACGTTTTCCACCAAGTTGACAGCAACGGCAACCCAGTCCTCGACATGGGCCACATGCTCCGTTGCCTGAGCAAGTTGGAAGTCGGGACAGAAGAGCGAATCTGTCTGACCAGCCGAGACGAACAAACAAGCTTCCTTGTCAGCTATAGGGAGCTGAAGAAGATGCTAACGACTTCATTTGGTGAGCTTGCCAAGGCAAGCAAGTCAGGAGGTCGAGGATTTTAGGAGGATTTAGAGGGGTTCAGGGGGTTTTGGGGAGAATTTTAGGCTAAGTCAAGGACGATTTTTAGAGGGTTCAACAGGTCCCTTGGAATATCGTAAGATGAAGGTTAAGTAAGACGAGGCAAACAACGGCAAGGCCTAGCAACCTGCAAGGATACGGATGAATGGAGAAGGATCTTCATCAAACCATAATAGGCTTCGGGGAAGAGTGCGAGGACCTGGATTTTCTAGGGAAAGGAAACTCGGCTCTTACACTGACTGAGACCGCTTCCATCGAAGACAACGCATGTTCCTCTACAAAGAGACCGTTGCCGGCAAATTGGGTAGACAAGGGGCCGGGGTTTGGACATGATGTCTCTTTATACGGCTGATGACGGCACGACGGGGTCTCGGGACAAGCAATACACGGACTGTTGGCACCAGGGGATTGAATGATGGACGGAGGGATTAGGGAGCAGATATTTAACACACCTTTGTTCATATAAGTTAGCATGAATGATGATTGAGTTACCTTACTACGATATATGGGCTTGGGATGAGGTGCTTCCGAGTATTTTCGGCATTCTTACACGAGCAAGGGCTGAGTGAGATGTTACGTGACGAGAACGATATGTCTTGTGAATATGGTATATTGCCTTGACTTAAAACAAGACTGTTGATGTGAAGAACGTGATACCATGCCCTCTCATGGCGTGAAGTCACCAGGCTGGTTGAGCTTAACTCGACAAGCCACATCTGGCATCTCGCCGTTCATTCGCAATCCAACAAGTTGTGATAGTAGATGTAAGTCTAAAAGGGTCATCACGTCATTCCGCCAGCTAGACACTGGTAGGTAAGGCCACAACAGCGGCCGGCCACCCTATGTATCAGGGCTTCTTCCTTCACACCGTTTTGTGATTCTTTCCAACTAGGTATATTTCTCCAGAGAATTGGTGCTTCATTCATCCTCGGCTTGGACAAAGGGGTTGGCGATCTCTTCGCTGCCGTCGACGGGGCTCACGAGGACGAGGAGGGTGCCTCGAACGACGACGAGACCGAGGGAGCGGGTGGACTCGTTGCCTTCGTCGTCTGTTGATGGTGTGTCAGTATGGGCATGATAGGAAGAGCGTACTTGTCGTGAATGAGCAACTCTTTGTAGGATAGAAACATACCTCGGACAACTTCGTGTACATCATCCAGAACCAGGTTCATCAAAGCATCGTAACCCTTCAAAGTGCCCTTGACTAGAGACATAGGTTAGCATCGCAGCTCCATAGCTCACAGACGCTGATCGCGCGAGACAGCGCAACATACCCTCTCGTCCGCCGTTAAACTTGACAGTGATCTGCTTGTCCATGTACTTGGCCAGGTCGAGAATGTTCTCCTTCTTGGTCCTCTCGCGATCGTGGGCACCCGCTCCAGCGCCGCCTCCTCCTCTTCCGCCTCCTCGCCCGCCACGGGGGTGAGATCCCTGACCGCCCCGGCCGCCTCGGTGCGAGGGTCTATCGGACATGGCGCATGCGTGGTGGGCTTTTTCTTCCTTGGGGTGTCGAAGGGGAGGGGGTGGGTTTTGTAGGGCTACAGATTCGAGATGGGTTTGGGATGCGAGCTTGCCTTGGGGGTTTGGGTCAAGGTTGGAACTTGCGAGGCTTTGGTGGGGTTGGAGGGGCTATGCTGCTTACGGAATGGTGGTGGTGCGAAAGAGGAGCACTGGATTGCGGGGAGGCACGTGCTAATGTGCGTGCCAGAACGTCACTTGGAGATGGAGAAAGAGTGCAGTTTCAGTGCAGGTTGGCTGCAGCCGGGAATAAGGCCATGGCGGCAGGAAATCGTCTGCCGGTCTCTATTTCTCTTGGCATGAGATTTCCTGCTTGTTTGTCGCAATTGGAATATGATGAACAAATTACGCTGCGACCAATCGAGGGACGAGGAGAAAGCCTCAATGTCTTCAGGTGATGGGTCGGTTCCGGTGTCAGTTTTAAGCATAGAAGAGCGGCCGATGACAACCGGGATGGATCTGGAGCAGGCCATGATATCCATGATGGATACCAATGTAGGCAATCCGAGGAACAAAGCTCGGTCAAGCTTTCTGGGCCTGCCGATTAGCACTGCCGCACAGATCAACGTCACCATAGGACCATGCCCATCTTCATCACCGCTTCACTTTCCCCCCTCGCTCGTCTCTCCAATTTCGCTCGCGTGCCTCGGTACTAAGGATGCAGCAACCGGACCAGATTAACGAGCTTGCATGGTCATACCGTTAGTTTCACTGGCATGACAAGCAAGCAAGCATGTCGATATTGCCTCACACAACATTGACATTGGATCCAAGGACGAGGACCATGCGTAGGTATCCATCCATCGTTACCGCCCGCCGCCATCCATCCATCCGGCAGCAATCCGCCAGCAATCCGCCAAGCCAAATATGCAGCACAGGCTGCACAGCCTCGTCTCGCGTCGCACAAGGTTGGCGCGCAAGGGTTCCGACGACATGCGTCCTTGGGCGCTCAGAAATCTTATTTGACGGCACGGATCCGGGGTGGGCGCATGTAGGTCGGTAACTCGCGCATACGTAGGAGGAGCAGCGCGATGCGATGCGGTGCGCTGCGTGTGCTAACCCGAATGTTTTGATGAGTTGTTTTTTTCCCTTCCTTTTCTTATGAGTGTTTATCCCAGATTGTGAGAGAGAAGATGGAGACGGAGGCCTCTCGAGGTCAGTCATGAAGGAAATTACACGCAGAAAAAAAAAAGACCTGGCCAAAAAAGGAAACTAACTAGCAGCATGGTTTAAACCCGCTATCCGCTTGAGCGGTTGCTTGTGCTTGTCTGGCCTGTGCCGTGCATATGGCCACCAAATCAAATTGCTCGAGATTCTCCCACCTTTTCGGAAATCGTGCCCTGACGTCTGGTGTTGGTGTGTGTGCCTGTGACGTTTTTGCTGGGTGTCGTCTCTATTTTGTCTTGGGAGTTCTTTAATGCTTCCTTGGCTCGCGTAAACGGCTTGAGCTTGACAGCTCCCTTCCAGGGAATAGCCCAGTAACATACAGAGTGTACCTGCCCTGCCGCCGTCACTGGAGCTTGGAGTCGGGGATTTTCTGGGCGCAGATGCCATTCCAATTATTCCCCAGCTTGGGTCCCATGGATCCATGGATGTTTCTTTGACCTCAGACAGCCTGGACCAGACCCTGGTACAACAAGTACTGTACACACCTCTTCTTCTTGCTGCAGTCTGTCCCTCTGTCCCTCTGCCAGGACCTGGACTTTGACCGTGAGCTCTTTCCTCCCCCCCACATCCGACCCGGCACTTTCTTTCTTTGCTGGAGACTCTTTTTCCCATCTCATCCCATCCCCATCCACATCCACATCCATCCCATCTCCCTCCTCTCTCTGCCCCCCCTAACCCTTGGCCAAGCGACATTTGATCTTCTTCCCAGTTCTTTTCCCTCTTACACCTCCTCTCTCACACTCGCCTCCTCCCCCTACAGTACAGTACAGTACAGCCTGCAGGCCGTGTGTCGTGTTTTACAGTAGCTGCTCTCCGACAGCTCATGCGAGGGATTTTTATTACGAGACGGATTGACCAGTAACGACGGGATCTTGACATTCTGTTCTCCTCTTGGCGGTCATTTGCCTGCATCTGGCTACCATCCTCCTTATAACATCCAATCCATACCTACCTCCAGTCCAGAACCAGTGCAGTACCTTCAGTACTACAAAATCGAGAGCTTCTCCCCTGGGCCAGCCTCTTTCGCCTCCGTCAATCGCTCATCCGTCGACTCAGTCCATCTCTCCATCATCTCACTCGCACATTACTACAGTATTTCTCTCGCCATGAATTTACAATAACCGTTCCTGCTGCCCCCTTTTCCCCTCTCTTCCCCTCCCTCTTTCACCACCACCCATCACCATCACCATCACCGCCTTCTTCCGCGGCGCCCTACCTCCCTCGGTTCGTCGCCACTCACCTGACTGACCCTTATCATCTTCGTCCGCGCTTCCGTCAAGCCAAGTCAAGTCAAGCCTCTCCGCGATTTCATACCCATCTCTTCCCACATTCAGCTACCCTTACCCAGCCCGCATCGGGCCCAGTGCGCATACCATACCGTACCACTCGACGGATATCTCCTTTGTGCGCTCAAAGTCAATTTGAGGGTTCAACTTCGGCGTTTCTTTGACGCTCTGTGACAGAATTCGTGTCTTGAATTGACCTTGACCTGCTTCTTCGACGAGCACTCACACAGAGGCGGCTGAAAGATTAGTGCGCCGGTCAAAAGGTACCAAGATGACTCCTGACACATGCCCTAGTACCGTTCGAGGCTAACAGTCTTTAGGAGCCCGGCATTCACAAGCAGAGAAGTCATCTCTCAGTTGTGAATACCTTTTGCCTATCCAAATTCCAATTTACACCTAGCTACTTTGACGAGATTTTGGGTCGGTTTGGAAGCCCGGCTAGCATTCTTGCGACCACGCATTCGCAGAGCAATCAAGATGGGGCACACTTCCGACTCGGAAGCCTCCAAACGAAAGCGTGACGTTGATGATGCTGGTGGTCAACCAGGACGTGCCCAGCTTGCACCCGCATCCGCATCCCTACAGCAAGGTATGTCCAGTGCGAGAATAGCTATTCAACGCAATGCCATGCATGTTATGCCGCCTCGAGTCTCGAGATGCCCATCCGTAGCCTAAGACGAGATGGTCTGGTCTGGCTGGATCACCACTACGCGTGCCTCTCTGCATGTCCCGTGTCCCATCCCCCAACCCAGCGCGTCTCCTCGTCTCTTGGTGTGGCGCGTGCAAGAGGCATACGTACCCGCCATCCTTTCATGGCACCCTCGCCGGACGCAGCGTCTAGCTCGACTCCTCCAGGGACGCACATGTTGTTGCTTTTGTATCTGACTCTCTTGTCTTGGTGCGCTGGCACAGCTTGCCGACTTGGAGGATATGCTAACACGACATTCAAGGCATCCCCGGCTACATCCACTATCTCCCAAGGTCAAACACCTCTCACTTGAGTCTAATACAAGGTGATGGCGATACCTTTGCCGATATCCTCGGTCTCATCGCCGAATACGAAGGTAAGCATGCTCCGACCTCGGCTCGACAATAGGTCGATCCAGTTTGACATCAGCGTCCTAACCAGTACTGCAGCCACTCTCGACAGGCACGAGAGCCTTGCATCAGGTCTCGGAGCCAAGTTGACTGGCCCACGCCTTCTCAGGGGCATTGAGAAATTTTTTGATGGGCCAATCAAAACCACACCTCTTCAGCCTTTCTCCAACCCCATCAGTTGGCTGGATGTGGTCATTTACGCAAGATCCAACCCCAAAGACTTCAATCTTGTCCCCAAGCCGGATGGTTCTAGATGCTGTCAGTTCCTACTCAAGGGCTCTCAGGTCGAAATCACCGAAGATGACTGGCGTCTGGTTTGGTCAGGCGCTCTTGACCGCTTCCCCCTTGACCACCCCCTTGAGGAAGATGAAACGGCGGAAATGGCGACGCTAGATATTCTCGAGCAGAGAACATCCATTCTATACAAGAAGGCTGACGAGGTCGCGGCAAGGGCTCGCATTCTCAACCACCGGCTTGGACAGAGAAAGCAGGACATTCGCCGGCGCCGAAACGCGCAGGATCCTTCTTCAAGGTTTCCAGCTAACAGTGCCAACCAAAGAGGCTCAAATTTCGGTTCAGGATACGATTTACATGCGGACCTTCTTCAGCAGTTTCTCACTGCCTCCACCTCGCCACCTCCTTCACGATCGACATCCGTAACTGGAGTGCCCCTTACCACTCTCAGTCAGCCATCGCCATCTCACAGTACAACGTATACCCAGACTCATGTTCCTCGCTTCTCTGGACACTCGACGGAGTCCTTGATGCAGCCTGCGGTTGACAGCAGAGAGACTGCCTTTCGATCTCTTATCACGCAGAGGACAGATCAACTGGGCAAAGGTGATGCGATCAACCCTCCCTGCGACCGATGCCGGCGCTTGCGAGTGGAATGCATCAAACATCTGACGGCCTGTTCAGGTTGTACCAAGAAGCATGCAAAGTGCAGCTGGAAGACGGTCACGGACGAGGAGTTTCGGCGGCTCAAGCGGGAGATGGGTCTCCGGGACGAAATGGATATTGACGGACAGTCAGAGGCCGGACCAGCACCGGACACTTTGGATACCAGGGATCCACGTTCCAACCGGCTCGGTGACAGACACGAGGCAGGCCGAACATCAGGAGAGAGAACCCCTGGCACTTTGGGAGATGATGGCTCCAGGCCTCCAAGCCGAAGCCGCAGTGATGGACACCCTCCGAGTACTATGGAACCTTCAACTGCATCGATGCACCGCTTCGACCTGAGCGCCGAACGGCATCGACTCCCTTTTGCCATGGGGCAATCAAGTGCGCAATCAGATCAAGGAAGTCGAGGGAATGATCATATGCCGGCTGGTTCCAGTGCAGCCAGCCTGGCTACGACGGTGGCACTGGCCCCCAAGAGCACGCATAGAGTCAGCGACGGCTCACAAAACCCTTCACCCAGCTAACACGACGACATTTTCTCACTGCTGGAATATCACGGTGCTTTTCTCAACAATCGTCTAGCAGCAAAGGTTGAGAAGAGGCATGAGAAGCCCCTATTGGAAGAAACATCAAGACGAGCTGTCTGGTCCTAGTGTACGGAATGGGATCGAGAACAGACAAATGTTATGATAGCAGTCAAGCAATAGTACTTGGCGAACGTGTGATGAATGAAACGAATGAATAAATGCCGCTTTACAAACCATTATTCGATCAGTCGTGTGAGGTTGTTGATACCATGATGGTGATGGTCGGAGCCCCGGACCCACACCGGGTGTCTCGAGGTACGTACCGACAGCCGGATCGGAAACGGGGACCACTTTTTTGTTCTCTAGGCGGGTCGAGGCAAGCGCACGCCGCCAGTGGCAGGCGCGGAAAAAAAGTTTCGATGTGCCTGGAAGGAAGGAAGCAAGCAATCGCAGGCGCTCTTCGTTCGCTGATTCATGAAAAGATTCTCCGTCTTTTCTTTTTCACCACCACCCAATCCGTTCCTTTCCAACGACGTTTAACGATCGGCCCCCGATTGCTTTTTGAACGTGTGCTTCTGTTTATCACACAGAAGTCGGATTGGAGCTGGATATCTCTCCCGACGTTCCCGCCCGCGCATGCAGTGCTTTTAATCTAGACGACGACGACGATCGGCGACGAGTCACGAGAAGAAATTTGACGACGACCACCACCACACAACCGATATCGACGAGACCAAAGACAATCAGCTTGGATCTGAAAGATTGAAGCTTCTTATCGCCATGTCACACCAACAATCCTCTCTGCCCATCATGACGACCCGCGGCGACGACAAGCCTTTCCACCACACCCAAGTGCCCCTCGATCATTCGGCACTCATCCAGTCGCGAGAGACGGGCGATGTCCTCCCCGACGATACCCCAGTGCAAGGCAATGTCAAAGTGTTGCCCTTTGCCAAGTCATGGGTTCACATGCTTGCGGGCGGGTATGTGCATTTCCTCGATTGCCACATGAAATGCGACGAGACTCGAGACTCGAGACGCAAACACGAGCAACGTTCAAGCTAACGGGTGCCAATTTCTAGTGTCGGTGGCATGACAGCTGCAGCAATGACAGCTCCTCTCGATGTTCTCAAGACGAGACTCCAATCCGATTTTTACCAGGCCCAGATCCGAGCAGCGCGCGAGGCTCAAGGACAGGCGATCGGCCGTCTTAACCCCGCCAGAGCGGCCGTCTACCACCTCAACGACACCCTCCAGATTCTCGGCTCCGTGTATAGGACTGAGGGTTGGCGGGCTCTCTTCAAGGGCCTCGGTCCCAATTTGGTCGGTGTAGTGCCTGCTCGTGCCATCAACTTTTACGTGTACGGCAACGGAAAGCGCATCATCTCTCAATATCTAAACCACGGCGAAGAGGCCCCTTGGGTTCATCTTTCGGCTGGTGTTGCAGCTGGTGTCGTGACCTCGACAGCTACGAACCCCATTTGGATGGTCAAGACGCGATTGCAGCTCGATAAGAACGTTGCTGAGAAGAGCGGTGGCGTCCAGCTGCGCCAGTACCGCAACAGCTACGACTGCGTGCGCCAGATTATGCGAAATGAGGGTCTCCGAAGTCTGTACCGTGGAATGAGCGCCAGTTATCTCGGTGTTGTCGAATCGACAATGCAATGGATGCTATACGAGCAGATGAAGGCCTCTCTTGCCCGAAGGAACAACGAGATTATCAGAAGCGGCCGCGAGAAGACATTCTGGGATAAAACTCTTGACTGGACTGGCAATGGCTTTGCTGCTGGAAGCGCCAAGCTTGTTGCTGCTGTTATTGCTTATCCTCACGAGGTACGTCACTGGCTTGGAGATAGTTTCATTTGTGATTATATGCTCACTGACTTGACAGGTTGCGCGAACCCGACTTCGACAGGCGCCTATGGACAACGGACTGCCCAAGTACACGGGCTTGGTTCAGTGCTTCAAGCTCGTCTGGGTTGAAGAGGGTCTTATGGGTCTCTACGGCGGCCTGACTCCTCATCTCATGCGAACAGTGCCCAGCGCAGCCATCATGTTTGCCATGTATGAGGGCATTCTCCGACTCTTCCACACCCCTGCTTAAGGGTCTGAGGACGACTTTAAGCACCGAACACGACAAGCATGAGAGGACCTGATCCTCGTTGCTTGATGTTTGTAACAATACCAAAGGCGGATACGACCGGAGCTTCTAGGGAGCTTTTCTCAAGACGGCCCGACAGAACACCGACCTTTACCAGCAATGTATAATACCCTCCTCCCTCAGGACCACGAAAGGATTTCGAGATGGGGTGACGACACGATAAAATGGGGAGACGGAGCAGCAAGGATGTCTTTACGGCGTTTGGCGAGCGGATGATATTGGTAGAGGCTCAGGCAAAATCACCCACTCACACTGACACTGACAACAAAACTTGCAGCACAAACATGTACGATCTCATGTATAATAGGAGGGGGGCGCATGCTTTGCTTTTCTCACCTGGATATGAACGCGACCTTGGCTGCATTGCATGATGGCTGGATTGCGCATATAGGGACATAGAATTCTCCCATCTCCCTCTTTCGGGGTGTCTTGGGGTGTAAACGTTTAAATGTATAAAACGATAATGAACTCTTCTACGCTTTATCTTTTACGTAAATTCTTTTGTTCTTCTCTTTGTGATGAGACGTTGGATGAAGCTCTGTTAATATGTTTAAAAGCCAAGGTTACAAGACAACCCAACAACGCCCCCCTAAGTGAAACAGACAATTGAGCCGCCGCGAAGCTCCTTAAAAGTCTTTTTGGAGCGTGATACAAGTTGAAAGCGACGAGAACAAGACAAGAAAAAAAAGAGACCGGATCAGAAGTTTGCTTTTCCATCCCAATGCGCAATTGGAAAGCAGAAGAAAGAAAAATGGGGGTGTATTTCAGATGGACCATATAACATGTACGAGAAGAAGAAGAAACCGGTCTCTCTCTCTCTTTGTCCTGTTCCCTTCACAGCCCCTTTTTCATTTCATGGAGTTTCAGTTCCTATGGCGTTCTGCTTGAGGGTATCGAGGGGGGCGTCTCGGTGGTTGGCGTGCGGGTTTCGCTTGCGGAGCTTTCGAGGTTGTCGAGTGGGAGAATCGGAGGAAGACGAGGATGAGGAGAAGGGCCAGATTAAACGAAGGCGTCACCAGGCATTACGGTCCCAGTTGGGATCTGATCTTATCAGTATTCATAATCCTACAAGTGTAGGAATTGAAGCGCGCCAAACTCACCCTGAACAAAAGCAGCCAGGACCTTGCTCCCCGTCTGCAACAGCGGATGCCCAACGACGATCTTGAGAAACTTTTCCAGTCCGGCGCGACGACCCTCGATGACGTCGTCGCTGAAGCGATTGGTGAACACCTTTCCGGGGAGAGGAGGGATGGTGACGCGGGCGCTCTCGCGCTCGAGGATGTCGCGGAAGTACTCAAAGTCGGAGTAGCGGCGGCGAACACTGCTCTGGCGCAGCTTGAAGGCGGGGATGTTTGTGCGGCAGAGGATCTCATAGTCGGTGTACATGTGGCGGCCCATGCCGTGGGTTCTCGGGTTGCGGACCTGAGGGTGTTAGCTATGAGCTGGCAGCACACTTTAGGGTATGTGGTAAGGGTACCTCAATCTCGAGAAAGTTCTCGGGAGGACCATAGATCTCGTCAAAGCTCTGCTGGCGCGTATCGGGCATGGACTGCAGGATTGGACGGTGGAACTGAGAGCCGGGCGAGACGGGCTCGCGGCCGGCGGTATCTTGTTCTGAAGCCAGGGTTGCGGTTTACGGCGCGGAAGCCGTACGGACGAGAGATGCGAAGCTGAAGGGGACGAGAAGGACGAGAGGCGCGCGCGCGCAAAGAAGTGGTGATGCTATCAGAACGTGGGTGGATGTTGTAGGTAGGTTGTCGCATGTCGTCTTAACTCTGGGTGGGGGGGAAGTGAGTGAGCAACTTTAGGCGGGGTATTGGTCCGTTTTCCGAGTGAGGGAACCTTGGCCTACGGGGTTGACGATTCCTTAGGTAACAGGTCTTGCTCAGCACGGGCTATCTCGGATTGCTCCGTCTTTAGCTGACGAGGGTGTCACAGCGTCTCATTGCGAATATGCTGATGATTCATCGTCAGATACAAAGTGTATGCATGTAACGGGCTTGCAGATGGATTCATTGGGTTTGAGTATGAAGAAGAATTATTATGCATTGACCTTGGGTAGTGGCGCTCGCTTTTGCGCTGCATTTATACTATCAAGATCAAGATAAAGATGGCCAAAGAAACAGTCTGGACATCACTTAGGAGATATAGCTGGAGTAATGCTCTGCTGCGCGATATTAATGAGTACAAATAGGATAATCATTGTTACATTAACTTGCTACAAGGCACAATTATAGTATAGGCCCTATTTGACCAAGCAACCTGACCTCTCTTATAAGCAGAGAAGCCAGGAACGGGCAGGTTTGTCTCGAGATGCTCTTCGAGGACCATCACCGGCCTGCTATTGTCGTCTAGATACAGGTCAACTCAGTCTCTTATACAGGCCACGGGTACTTGGCCATAGCATGCCGTCTGCTCTCAAGACTGATATCCAAATCGAGTCCCTCGTCGGAGTATGGCAGGATGCCCGATCTGGTTTGGGATCAACCAAGTGAAGAGCCATATTCCAGGCTCTACCGTTTCCTTGAGACCACTCCTCCACGTCGCTACTCGCAGACGAAATGCACGCCGAGAAACTGAGCTGAAACAATGACGCATGAGCCCCTGAAATCAATAACACCAGACGCCAGATGTGCCTCACCTTGGGCCTGTTCCTACAACGCCAAACTCTTGATCCGTACTTTCATACAGGATCCGTGATGAAGGTGGACCTTGTTTCGTCCCCTTCCCTAATCAGGTAGCTGTCGGCATGTCGTCGACAACTCCTTGCTCTCATTCGCCCATATAGATGCTTCTCCGTATCATGGCCTTACTTCTTGTCGGCAAACTTCTGGTGAATAGCACGGATCTGCTCCTCCACATTGACGTTGTGCATATGGCCAAGCTGCGCCTGACTCTTGGCATCCATGGCTCCGTCATAACTGTGAATCGCCGCCTTCTTTCTCCGCGCACGCTCATCCTCTGAGATGGACTGGCCAGTAACCGGGTCGAAAACATCGTCGCGCTGACTAGCCAGACGCTTGAGGTTGTTGGCGACATCGACGTGGGACATGTTGGATGACGCGTATCGCGAGTCGGCCTTGGCCTTTTGCTCTTTCCAGCTGGGATCGAGAAGTTCGACTAGAGAATAGTAAGTGACTGATACATCTGAATAGGGGTAAGGGAGACGTACTTCGCATATGAGCTTCGAGCTCGCTCATCGGAATATGTTGCTTGCAGTTGGGACACAGAGCCATCTGAGTTCCCTGTCTGTTTGCTGCCTTTTGCGCCGCACGTGGCACATAATTCTCCTTGATCTTCATAGGAGCACCACCACGAGCTTCGGCATGAGCCTGCTGCTTGCGGGCTTGCTGCTCTGCACGCTCCTGGATCCGGCGTTCCTCTTCCTCCTCTTGAGCGGATTTTTCAGGTTGTTGCGGACCGGGGCCATAAGGCTGTGAGGGAGGAGGCATATGGACGGGTTGGTAAGGCTGCTGTTGGGGGTGAGAGGGTAGAGGATACGATGGGCCAGATTGGGCTGGGTGGGCGTTGTAGCTCGTCTCTTCGTCGGGCATGGCTTCTTCGATTCGGAGGTTGGAGCTGATGGAAGCTTTGTTTCGGTCCTCGAGGGAGGCGTACTGAAGCTCCGAAAGGTTGGTCGGAGGGGGTAGGTTGGCCTGATCATCCGCGTCGTTGAAAGTGATGGTCTCGACAACGACAAAGTCGCCCCAGTCGATCTGCGCAAACTCGACCTTTTGCTTCTCCTCCTCCTCTTCCTTCTTCTGACGCTCAGCCTCCTGATACTTGGCATACTCGGCTCGCTGCTTGGCGCGATTCAACACATGGAACCTCTCCTGGATGTTGGCCTCGAGTTCCTTGGTGCGCTCATCCTGGGCCTTTCCTCCTTCGCCACCTAGACCGCTTGCGCGTAGTAGTGCAGTATACTGGTCGATGATGTGTTGGAAGAAGTTGTGAAAGGTGTGGTTAGGGATCAGGAACTGGAACTGCGGGTTTCCGGCCTCACGCTGAGCCAGCTGAGTCATGAATTGGCGACCATTCTTGGCGACAAACAGAGCAGTAAGTCGAATAACATCCAAATCCTTCTGGTTGATACGGGGCATTCGCGCAGAGAACTGAAAGTCGGCAGGCTTGGGAGGGCCTTGGGGCTTGGGAGGCGGAGGCGCGGCCTCGCCGACGCGACCAGCAGCGATCGCTGTACCGCGCCCATTCTTAACCTCCTCGAGTCGCCATTCATAGAACGGGTGGTAGGCGTCGGAGGGGTTGAGGAAGCTGAACTTGGGATTTGAGCGCTCCTTGTCGCGGATGCGATCTTCGAAGACGGCGCCGTTGCGCGCGACGTAGCCGGCAGTCTTTTCGAGGACGTTGCGGATCTCGCGGGGAGGCAGGACGACGCCCGCGGGGGCCTTGATCTCGTCGAGGACGGCGGCGGCGTCACCGTTTGTCGTTACGGCGGCCATTGTTGGGGAGGGACGCGCTGAAGAAAAAGAGGCTGATGGGGAGCTATCAGCTAGAAGGCGTCTTGGGAAATTTCGAGGTGTTCTGGCGACGCGAAGCTTGGATCGGAGAAATGTTATTCCGAGTTTTGCTGTTAGTTCTGCTCGGGGCAGGAGTTACCTAGGTACCTATCATCCGGCCTTGACTCGAGATCGTCTTGCTCTTCTGGCTTCATTCACATCTATACTTGTTTAAATAAATTACCGATTCGAATTGATGTTCGTTACCTTTATTTTGGCGTTGTATTCTATCTGCATTCACTAGTGTTCAAGCCAGAAACGTCGGCGGTATCCCCATCCTCTGGCTTCCATCTAGTCTCAGAGGTCTCTCGAACATTAGCACTCCTTGGCACCAATAGTCGGCTTCCATATTGTCCTCTAAGTTGAGATCTGTGAGGATGTATTATAATGGTGTCATTGATCCCTTCTGTCTTAATCCCCCGCACAGGCCAGTGTCTTGCCATGGTCAATACATTTGAGATAGACAAGCTAGGCTAAAAGCCAAGCCTGGCACATGGACCAAGCCTGTGTCTATAGACGACGCAAATCTCACCCATCTCCACGGTAGCCTCTTCATGTTTCGCCCTGATGGCCGTCTCATCGCCTACGAATATCGCCAAGGGCAACCAAGTGTGTCTCCAGGCGCCAGCAACCCCATGTTCTTCCAGGAACTGGCTGAGTACGTCTTGAAGAACAATCTGGCGGGACTCGTTGCGCTCGAGGTACTTGATGTGGTGCGTCAGCCAATGGATGAGTGGGTTGAATATGAACTAGAAGGTGGCAGTACCGTGGTGTTGTCCAGGCTGGATACAAACCGTGGAGGTTTTGCCCGAGCTACCGGGTGGACTCAACGCGGGAATGAGGGTGCCAACGATCCTGACCCCGAACCTCAGCCTAACACGCACTACGAGCAGACTACTAAGGGTACTCACAGGGTATTCGTGAGTAAGCAGGATCTTCAGAATGAGGACGGGCTGATGGGCGCCCTGGAAGCCGCCAATATTCTCCAGGTTCTCCCCCGTGCTGAGTGAGGACCCATGTTTGGCACCAGTGTTATCGACATGAGATAGGTACATCATCAACTTGGTCAATGAGTCACAGTTTGGTCATGTAAGAAATTCAAGGTGCTCTGCGTTCCAAACAAAGCATCATTATGCGCGCTCAAGGTGAGAAAGATGACTATATTGATTGCTTCCTGCCGTCATCGATGAGCTGTCTCCCTCCCCCTGCTTCAGGGACAGCGAGCCCCTTGTGAAGCCAAGGAATATGGTTTTTAGAGCAGCGTACGGCATCTCCAGGTCTCATTACATGCACCGCCGAAGCCTTGAGGACCCCTCCAAGACACTCGCATCTAAGCGATGGTTTAGTCGCCGGTTGCGCAGAACGCATCAAGATATCTGAAGGCTATCGTGCCCTCTTCCACTCGCTCTTGACTGCCATTCGCCCAGGTGAAGCCATACCGGAGAAATAGGCCAGCCATTCTCGCGATCTGGATTCCATATTTTTCATCATGTGAGAGGGTGCCGGTCACCAGCTCAAACGCCTGCCAGAACACACTCCTAAGGTCATCACAGTTCGGATAGTAATGCCAACCCTGACCATCCATAAAGCCAAGAAAATTTTCAAGACCCCATAGAGATATCCCGAACGGGCAAATCGTAGCTTCAGGCCAATCAAGGATACCTGTGATGTGGCCAGTGTTGGCATCCACAAAAACATTCAGGCCGGAAAGGTCGCCGTGATTCAGTGTGAAAGGGTATAGCTTATCGAAGAGCAGGGAAAGCCCTTCACGAACCATGCGTAGATTTTTTTTAAAACGGTCGGGCAAATACTTATTAAGGAGCTCGATCCTCGCTTGGTAGTCGCGTCGAATAGCTTCGATTGCGTCCGGGTCGATATGCTGCCTTCTATTCCACGATGTTGCGAAGAACCTCACCACAGGATTAGCAAAGCTCTGGAGCGGTTTCCAGCTTCGACGCACCTTGCAAGGTCTGTTACAGTTGTACAATGTTGTGGACCGGTATCGGACGAAGGATCGACTGGCTTAACCTTGACATACGGAGTTCCAGAGACTTTCTCCATCCCATAGACAGGGATCTTTCCACACAACAGGCCGTGGAAAGTATACGGTGGCACGACTTGCTGGTGAACTTGTCGGGCCATGTCCAAGATTCCTCTATCCAAGTCCGCACCTGCAGCTCGAAATTGAATGATCTTGGACTGATCGGCTCCCGCTGTGAGTGTGTAGCTGAAGGAACCCTGCACGGCCACAGGCCTCACAGTTCCCTCCGCGAGATGTGCCGCGTAGTCATCACATTGTTGCCGTGTCACGCATGTGTGGACCGCAAAGAATTGATTGATAGCATTTTCGGCCGAGTAGACAGAGACATCCATCGTAGAGGAGGACAGTCTCGTGCAATAAGGGGTGCGACATGGAAACCGTCAATGGCAGAAAGCGTCGCATCTCAGCGAAAGGACAGAAGAACGGGATGGCGACAAGGTGAGATCTTAGGGGTCGAAGGCCCCTGTTATGTCGGCCTAATAATTTTCCTTTCTGGACTTAGCCCTTATTACCGCCATGACATTCATGTCTTAGGTTAAAAAAGACACAAATGAGTAGATCACGCCCGAATTACAGTCCACCTGGGAAAGACAAAGGAGATCCGATGCCCAATGCTATACTAGCAAGTCCCCCACTCCAAAACCACTTGTCTGAATCCTCTCAGGACATCTCATTGATTGGCAAGCTCCAATCACTGGGAAGCTTCCACTTGGTCTCTATCTTCTCGCCGCCCAAAGCCGCAATCTCTCCCAAATCCGAAATGTCATGGGAAGCGTGCCCATCAAGGTGATCGCTGGTCTTGTGAAGCAACGACTCATAGAAGACCTCGTCTCTCTCATCGTCGCCCTTTTGGTGATTGTGGTACGCCCACTTTAGCCTCTTGGCTTGGTCACTCGCAACACCATGCAGATGTTCCTGATCGAGCATCGAGTCGTTCCGGTCAATCTTGCCAATCTGCTCGAGCAGGTGAACGTGGATATCCTTGGCAGCTTGGTGATCGCCGCAAGTATTGTGGAAGCTAGCCCTGAGGGTCTCACACTCGACGGTCAAGCGATGCAGCGATCCATACACGTCGCGCAAGTTGTAACATATGCTCTCGAGCAGGACCAGAGCCGAGGTCTGGTGGCCGGCGGCGAACTTGACTTCACACAGACGACGGCCTGTAGCGACGGTGGTGGCGCTGGACCAGTTGCGGCTCATTCGGGTGTCCCAGAGATACTGAAGGATCTGTTCCAGCATGGAGAAATTCTTGCGTTCGCCGAGGAGACGAATGATGACGTTGAGCTGGCCAAGAGGGATGGTACCAAAGTCCATGTCCAGATGACCGACTTTGAGCACCTCGACGAGGATCTCCGAGGAGATGGTTTGAAGCTCAAGGAAGATAACGTCAGTCTTGCTGTGCTGGCATCGTGTGAAGGATTCCGAGATTCGGAAAGCTAGAGCGACAATCTTGGAGTGGTGCGTCTTTGTGAGCTGCTTGAAGTAGATCTGGGACCAGCGCAGAAGTTGGAGAGATACAGTGTAGTCTTTGACCTTGGTGAAGATGCTCAAAGATACATCTACCAAGCACTCAAGAAGGGTGATTGAGACCGTCTTCTTGTGAATGTTTGAGAGAGTGAGCTCGAATAGTTGCCACAAGGACTCGGTGCTGATGGATGCAGGAGCAAAAGATTTGAACATCTCCCACATCTCTGTCCTCAATTGTCTCATCTCTCCGTGTCGACCCTTCTGCTCCAGGAACACGACCAATCTGGCTCCAGCAGCCAGACGGACGTGAATATCCCGACTGGTCTGACGAACAGAGACGGACCACGCTTCGTACAGGCAGGTCTCGGTGTAGATGTCACGGATAATGTCATCCAGCATCTTCTCCCGTCCGTACCCGCAGAGAAGCTGCTCGAAAGCATGGATGAAGACGAAGCAGCGTCGGTCAAGCTGAGCAATCTGGCCATGAGCGAACCCGCAGTGCCCTTCGATGACGCTGTGCTCGCCACACACTACCTGCTCTTTGACGTGCTGGATGAACTTGATGCCAAGTTCGACCGAAGAGATCTCGCGATACAGCTTAGACAAGGTACGTGCTATGTTAAAGAGGACCTCCTCCCGGCGCTCTTCAACCAAAAGACCCAGGATGTATTCCTCGATGACTTTGATGGCTGCTGAAGTGCTGCCATGGCGCTTCTGCTTGCGATGGTACTCGACGATGCGAGTCAGGGCGATGATGACTTTTTCGTCCGAGTAGCACAGCTTCAACTTGAGAGACATGAAGGCGTCAATGAGAAGGACTTCGGCACGATGGCTCATATCCGGGTGGCTCTCGAACAGGAGGGAAAGGCGGTACTTGGTGACCTCGATCAAGGCTAGAAGCTCCTCGCGACATTCCTCAAAGCCGTGAAGGTCACAGTGGCTCAACTCCTCATAAATCGAGACTGCCTCAGTGTAGCGAATCTCGTCCAATTCGAGGAGCTTGGCGAACTCGATGCGGGAGCGGATGTAGATCAGGTGCTTTGAGCCAAGCTCCGCGAGTACCAGTGCCTGGAACTCCTCAGCCAGTAGAAGCCGCTCCCTGTACTCCTCGTGCAGACCAAGAACAACAATATACTCTTGATAGACTGCAAAGTACTGCTCGTAAGAGATCTCGCACTCATGACGGTGCATCTCCAGGGAGGTCCAGAGGAAGCGGAACCACTTCAGAGACACGACGTTCTCACCGTGAGATTCAAGAGAAAGGCAGACCTTGATGAGAATGTGGAGGTAGGCGGGGGGGCAGGTCTCGAGGCCAAAGTCTTCGAAGCTTTGCAGCAGCAGGAGCAACGTTTCGGTGGAAGAGACATCACCATCGCACCAGTGGACCAGGGTCTGTAGGTAGAGTTCTGCGCGCAGCTGGGTGAGTCTGACCATGATGACTTCGAACCTCGACTCAAACTGCGTCACGACAGTCTTCTCATTCACTCCAGTCTTGGAGATACCAAAAGAGGCAGTGATGTCAATGACAACATCCACGATCATGGCCAGCGCGGCCTGGAAAATTTTGTGAATCCTTGGCTGGGAGTGGTGATGCTCCGTGTCCAACTTCTTAGACATGGTGACAATGAAAGCTGCCGCTTCGTCCATGGCGGTGAAGAACCTCTCGACAGCGTAAGAGTATCTGCCAGCGAACCCCAGCAGAGTCTTGCATGATGACAAGACAAGAGCGGAGCTCTCAAAGGTGGACATTTCGATCATCTTCATAGCCGCCATGATCTTGTCGAACTTGACACCAAAGGACTCGGCCTTCTTGAGTGTCTCGTCAAGGCGGCTTCCCTTGTCGGGCATGTACCGCAGTCTCTCATTGGTGACCATGCTCAGGAAGTCCTTGGACGTGACGGAGCGTTTAAATTCCAGGGAGCAGCCGACGGAGCGGCTGTATCGGTCGAGAGCACGTTGCATGTGAGAGTCGAGCTCGACCGTCAAGGATGATTGCTCAACATGATCCTTGTTCAGCTTCCACAAGGCTGATGTATCATAAAGAGGGTGATTGTGAAAGTTGTGACGGTGGTGGTTATGACCACCGGTTGTAGAGAAGCCGCTGACGGTCTCACGCCTGGAGACGACAGACATGGCCTGGGAAACATGGCGGCTGCTCTTGAGACCGCTAGAGGTTTCGCGGCGGGAAAAGATGGTCGTTCCACCCAGACCAGGATAGGATGCTTTGCGGATATGGCTCTCGTCGGAGCCCCCGTCCAAGGCAAGCATGCCAATGTTGTGTCGAATGACGGTCTCATCCTGTTGCTCGTCGTCGGAGAAGACGGATCTAGAGGGAACGGGTTTGGTGTTGACGGCAGGGAGCCATGTTGGTTTGAGATCAGGGGTGGCTAACTCTTGCTCGTGCACTGAGGGATAATCGTGTTCGTCAATGACTTTTGTTTTTCCATTGACCAAGGGAAACCTACGTCCGGAGTGACTGAACATCTTGACTGTTGGGTACAGAGGCGGGAAGAGGTGGAGTAGGTTATGTAAGAGTCAGTGCCCGGTCCTGCTCGCACAGAGTTGGCTGGCCAAACGGATTCAGGAAGGAGTGCAGCAAAAATGAAGCAAGAGCAGCTGGAAGGAAAAAGAGAAAGCGTAGCCCCTTAAGTTCACGGCAACTTTAGGGAATTCTGCAGAGGAAAGGGCTTGAGGTTCAATCAAACGCGTGTGAAAAAGGGCGGAGCGTCTTTTATCAAGGAAGAGAATCACTCGAAATGGGCACCTGGGTCGCCTCTCTGATATCGAAGCCACCTCCTGCAGACCTGAGCTCAGGGATAAAGGCTGGGCTGGAGCTAAGGACAGGGTATCACCGTTCATTAGGGCAGACATGGGAATCCAGACAAATCTATCATCTCCTGGAGGGCAAGCTGAAACTCGGTGAGTTCGCCACCAGGATAAGCGCCTCGGAGGCGTGTATAGTAACCGAAGACACTGCTGTATCCTGTATAGACTTGTTGTAGTTCTAGACGAGAGCGCTTGACGAGAGATGGGACCCAGCGTGCATCGTAGATTGGTCTAGGTCAACCTCGAACAGTGTCGTCTGAGACAGGGGAGGTCACATTGGCCACAACCGGGAACTCGTCCGCCTTTAGTTGTCTTAATGTGAGTAGAGGCGTTGCTGAACACAAGCTGACAAGTCCCGATTTGGACGTTCAGGACTGCACGTATAAGGCAGGGGAGTGCGATTTTGGAAGCGAACAGGGTGAACCATGTACCGATACTTGCAATGGGCTTAGATAGATCCAAGACCCTAGTTCCCGCGCGGGTGCAGATCACCGGCGCGGCGAACCCTAGTCCCGGCCCCATAACTAGTGCGAGGGCGGGGAGTTGACCGTTAGTTATCATTCCGAGCTAATGAGGCTTCAGCCAATATTGAACGAGACCATTTAGTTGCATATAAGCCATCGCATCTAAAGAGGAGTCTCAGAGTCGGATTGAATCAGGAGGTGAGAATCAGCGCCACGCGCTCAGCCTTTTGGACTATTGGACATGGCTGAACCCCAAAGGGATTCTTTGCTTGGCCTGGAATGGATTCAGCCACGTTCAGCTCGCCACAGAAGGAGATTAGAGCGGCAAGTTTCCAGGCTCTGCAGAGATGTCTTACTTTGTGGAAACGAGCCGTGCGGTAGTAGGAGGTGACCGTAGTGGTTGAGCAGGCCTGCAATATTCCGTGACATCTTTCCCAGGTGCTATCTCAACATGGATGCGTTGCAGTCGAGAAAATCTTCCACGTAGTACAGCCAAAGCAATTTACGAAAGGTCTCGGCTTCCAATTAAGCAGGGTATGCCACTCTGATTTATGCAGTAGCAATGTGTTGAAGATTGCCAAGATAAATAGTGAGGATCAAGAAACAGGAAGCCAACCACTATAGCACCAACTACGGAGCTCGAAGCTTGGACGTGCCAGGGTGCGTAAAAGTCCATCTCTGCCCGTTCGGATTGTTCTGTTCCACTCGATGATGCGCATGGGCCACGATTCGGGAGTGGTTTGCTCGTCGCGGACGATGCTGAACACCAGGCTGATCGGACGACTGTTGTTGCAAGGGATGAAGCCGTCCCGCTGTCGGCCAATCGGGAAGAGCCCAAAGTTGGAAATGGGTTGGTCTGTTGGGTGAACTGGAATGTCAAGGCTGGGGGGCGGCATCTTGATTCGGCTGTTTAAGGCTGGCTGGTGTACAGCGGCGAAACTTTCTTGGGTGCCATCACTCATAGCAGTGACATTATTGAGCCTGATTAAAGGCTGTTCGACGAACATTAAACGGCTAGCGGTGAATTCTGGTAGTTAGTCGTTGGCGAAAACGTTCAAAGGCTTGTTTGGCCGATACTTGTCCGTGGGAAAGGCAGGGGGGTTGGAATCGGAACAGCCCGTGGCTCATGCAGAACCGTCAACGACTCGAGATCCTCCAAAGTCGTCTTGGGAGGCGGCTTAGGATTATCAGCAGTCGCGCTCAGCGTGTAGAGGGGCCCATTCAGCTATAGCGAGAAGACAGCTGACGTCGGACCTAGGGCGGTGTAGTGGCCTGGCATCTTTTCCAGGAGGTTCTTATGGATGATCTTGGCGTAGTCTTCAATCTTCAGAGTACGATCGTCCCAGTCAAACAGATCGCTTGTGTCGCGTGGATTCGGGTCCAGCTCCAGAAGATCCTGCCGGTTCTTGTGGCTGGACTCAGGAAGAGGGGCGTCGGCACCTGTCGCGTAGATGATGCGCTTGCATTGGAGCTCGATCTGCTTCTCATTCAATGCGAATGCGGCGATGAATACCTGTTGATGAGCGGGAAGCGTGATAGTAACTCCTGTGAGTCCGGGCGGCTTTGAGCATCGGAGTATTGCAGGCCTCGTTCGACGCCTTTATGAACTTCCTGATGAACTTTGAGCCCTTCTTCTTCCAGATGACAGCACGTGTCTCGGCTGGTGTGCGATTCACTCTGGATCTCTGGTTAGTGACTATTCGCATCAATGTTGAGATTAGCACGGGCTTGGACTTGAACGGCCCTCCGTTCGGAGGTGTGGTTCATGTGGACTTCTGGGTGTTTGGATTCGGTATCAAGTTTGTAACCTCTGCGAAGCCACAGTCATCTATTGCTCTGAATCGCTTCTTCGCCATTGCCGCAAAGACTGGTTCGTCATCTGGAGCCTCCTCCGGAACGTTCTTGACCGGTGGAGGCGATGCCAAACCCCCAGCCAAGCCACAGCCTGACACTGCAGCCATTCTCTTGACCTGCGAAACTGGCCTCTTGCCGCCCCTTCAGGATGTCAAGGCCGAAGCCATAGGTCCCCATGATAAGGCCCCGGAAGATGACAAGTGGTACGTCAATGGCGCCAACTTCTCTCTGATGGCTTCGTTCCAAATCCCAGTCACCTCGGCAAGGCTTACCGAGAAGCGAACTCGGAGGATAGAGAAGGGATAGGAGCAAGACGAGACCAGATACGCCGACTGCAAGGTCGAAGACAAGTACAAGCAAGTATATGCCAAGCCCATGCAGCTCCACAATCCTCTTGACTCTGCCGTCAGCATTTCTGTCAAAGCACCAGAGCCGAGAATGTCAAGTACACTGCTTGGTCAAGGGCTCGAAAAAGGGGGGTGGGGGTAGACTTCTGAGCAACCCAACGGAAATAACACAGCCAAAACACAACTGATCCTATACCCAAGACTCAATGGCACAATGACTGAATGTCAAGTACACAACAGGTTCATGTCTTGGAGAATTGGAAGGACCAAAAATGGAAGCTCACAGCTCGGGTGAAGCCTGTGCAGAGCTCCATCTAGGGAAGATACGATAAGAACGAGGATCCGGCTCTCGCCAAGGGGCCTATCGAAGGTCTCCTCAACGGCAAAGGCGCCACCATGCCACTCATTACTGGTATCTCCATTCTTCCACCTGACCCAGCCATAACCGGAGACCTTGTCAACAAGTTCAACGTCACAAAAGACCACATGGCGTCCGTGTTCAATCCCGAGAGCCCTAGATGGCCATTGTTCATCGGTGTCACAAAGGAACAGGAGACAGCCTGGGCTCCGAAAGAGAGAGGGAAGTGTTGGAAGGACGTGACGAGCGAGTGGGAGAAGGTTGGAGACGCGTCAACGCTCAAGGTGGTGGATCTGTGGGCAAAGAGGATGCGGTATGATGCAGCAAGCGTGGAAGGGGACCTTCAAGCCCTTGAAGAGTTGCACCAAGGAAACTCTTGAACCATTTCTCGCAGTTAGTGACAGCGCTCCCATTGGTGACTGTTGGACAACTGGTGGTATGAAGGGGAGTAAGTGACCTAGGAGGATAACTATTATTACAAGCGGCCTTATATATAGAACTTGCGTTTCTTAGTATTTATTAACTTATTATTTATTACTTTATAGCCCTAAGTCTATATTTTATTTTAGAAAATATAATTATATTTAATTTTTTTTATAAGAGTTAAAATAACTAGAGATTATTATTAATTATAATATTTTTAAAATTATATTTAATATCTTTAAGTTTTTTAATATTTATTAACTTAAATTATTATTTTATTTTTATAGATTTAAGGTAAAAAATATTAAATATCTAGAAATATTAAAATAAGTATTTTTTAAAAAATATATAAATTATATTTTCTTACTTTACTTATATATATATAAAGTATTAATATTATTTTATATCTAAGTATAAAATAATTTATTATTAAGATAATAAGCGCATAGAGTTTTAAGGGGGACTAACCTCTCGCCAGGCTCTATGTTATGTAAACCCCTGCCGTGGGGACAGATTCTTGTCCACCAATCATTGAGGAATACGTTAAGGTTCAACGCTAACCAAAATGGGTGCTAAATGTACCTTGAAGTCACCCGGGTGTGAGAGTGGTCACGTGAAAACGGGCGCCGGCTGATCTCCGGCAGGCTGGCTAAGCTAAGGCCCGAACCCATTTGCCCAACACGATTGTCAATCGCCGAGCGGAGCTGACCCGGTCATCAAAGCCATGGCATCATTGCCCGGAACCGCTTGGAGAAACAGGCGCACTTGAGTACCTGACCATTTGTCTGACCAGCTTGCGTCAAGAGGCGACCGAGGCCGCGGTGGAAGGGCTGATATGCCCCAGGCTCTTAGGGCTGATCAGAAGTCTCTGCCTTGTCAGCTCAACACCAGGCTTTCCTCGTTGTCGGTCGTACGGATTTGTGTTACTCAGTCTTCTCAAGACTCAGTCAAATTATTCATTCAAAGCTAGTCTTTCGTCGATATCTTCTCATTACAAGTAAAGATTTGTCACGATCCCACAAGCCATACGTCAAGCCCATCCTCACCCGGAACCGTCCGACTCGGAACCAGAGTCCGAGTCCGTCGACTCTGTCGTCGCCGAAGCCGAATCGTCACTATCTTCATCAGACCCTGCGAATTCCAGACCTCGCTGATTGAACTCGTGATCGGATGGATGAAAGAGGGCCACATGGCGATAGCATTTGGAGCAGAACCCAACATCCGTGCATGTCTTGCACTCATATGCGAAGCCTCGAATATCCTATTCCATGACGTTAGCAAATGGTCAAGTTGGCAATACTGGATAAGAACTCACCCATTCGCATGCGTCACACCAGTAGTTTTGGTAGTAACCTCGCTGCGACTTGACCTTGTGTGGCTCTTCCACGTCGTCGCTCTTGTCAGGGTCAGATACACCATTAGGCACGGGGCCATGGGCTAGGAAAGCCATTGACTCTCTAGAGCATGCAGAGAAACGACCAATTTCCAGCGGCGTCCACCTCTCATCCCCAACGCTGGCCAGAACCGTTCTGTCGGCCCCGTTCTCGAGCAAGAGTGTAATCACCTCCTTCTGCTGGGGACTCTCACTTGCATGCTCGACATCCAGCCAAGACCTCGGCCCACGGGCAGCCCAACATAGTGGTGTCCACCCGTCAATATCTGGAGCGTCGATGGCTGTCTTGTCAGATAAGAGTGAGATGATCTTCTCGACAACTTGCTTGTGTCCCGACTGCGCTGCAAAGTGAAGCGCTGTTCGGCCCATCTTGTCCTTGGCACTGATGTCTCCACCATTTTCGAGGATAACCTCAAAGTTGCGCATTCCGTTAAGAGCAGCAAGGTGTATCGGCATGCGACCCGTGTTGTCCCTCACGTCGACTGTTGCCCCCCGCTGTTCTAGGATGAGGTTGATGATGTTTGGCGTCGTCCTCAAAGCTGCTGCAATGATGGGGAAGCCTAGCAAGCCGCCTTGTGCAGTTACGTCTGCGCGAGACTCTCGAGGGCGAACGTGGGCCTGTTCTTCCTCGTCGAGGAGATAGCGAACCATTGCCTCAGGCGACGGATCATTCTCTCCTTCGCCTCGGAGAATTATTGCCTGCAACGGCGTACCGTTCAAGCCATAGCACGACTGATTCACATTGGCGCCCTGCTCGACGAGAAACTTGACCGTCTCCCACTCTCCCTTCCGACAAGCCTGGCAGAGGGGCGATCCGTTCCATGGCGATCCACGATTGATGCTGGCCCCTCGTTCAAGTAGAAGCTTTGCTCGGGCCAGTCCATCGATAGCAGTGACGGCTGCTGAGAGCGGTGTGTCGCGCGAACGAGTTGTCAATGCTTCAATGTTTGCCCCAGCATTCAGGAGACGTCTGAGGTTGTTAATCGTGGTGTTCTGTGCATGGATAGCAGCGATACCCTCCTCATCGTCACCCTCGTCAATATCGATTCGACCCGAGAACTCCAGAAACTCCTGAAGGTAATCTCCCGTGGCAGCTGAACGGATAAGAGGAATGCCGTCCACTTTGTGCTTCAGGTTGGCTCCAGCTTCGGCCAACCGACGAACCATTCCGTCTACTCCAACTCTTGCCGTAACAGCAAATCTCATGGGGGTCCAGCCTGACAAATATTCAGAGTTGCCATCATACTCCATGTCGACCGAGGCATTGTGCTCCAACAGTAGTTCCACGGCCTCATCTAGGCCTCCATCTACCGAGTATGTCAAGGCCGTATGGCCGAAGCGCCTGCCAAGATCTGGATTGGCTCCCTTTCGAAGAAGGAGACGGAGAATCTCCGTATTTTCGATGCCGAGTGTGATCGGCGTCATGTTTTGCCGGTTGGCTTGGTCTATGTTGGCGCCCCTTTGTAGCAGAAGCTCAACGAGCTCGTACCGCTCACGGCTAACCGCACAACTCAGCGGATAGCTTCCGAAATCGTTAGGCAAGGTGGGATCAGCGCCGTGGTCCAGGAATCTTCGGATGGCATCCGTCCTGACATCATCCTCCAAGAATTGCACTCTGGAGTCCTCGACCCGGATCGGCCAAGTAACCAATGCAAACAGCAGGGCTGGCTCTCCTGACTTGTTCTTAGCATTCACATCCAAGTCAAGCTCCAGGAACCGGTCTAGTATCTCCAGGAGCTTGTCTTTAGGCGTCATTTGGAAGATCTGGTGGAAGATGGGCATCTCCAGTAGCTCGCTCTTGGGGTCGGCTCCAGCAGCAAGGAGCATATTGCAGACTCCCAGGTGGCCACTACAAGCAGCCCACCGTAGGGCAGTTCCATTGGGACCACAGATGTCAGGATTGGCTCCATTGTCAAGCAGCAGTCGCACACACTTCTCGAGGCCGTCATCCGAGGCCACAACCAGCGGGACCCACTGGAACTCGTCCTCGCCCCTAGGGCCTGGAGGAAGACCCATGTTAGGGTCAGCGCCCTTCTTCAGGAGCAGTTCCAGGGTTTTGTAATGTCCAAAGACTGATGCAAGATATAGAGGAGTAAAGTTATCGTCACTGGTGGCATCAAGCTCGGCCTTTCCCTCCTCCAAAAGGACCCGAGCGACTTCTGTGTGCCCCTCAACTGCCGCAAGATGGAGAGGTGTTCGGTCGTAAAGACCACCAGGGAACTTATGATTGGCCCCATGCTTCACAAGAGCTTGCACAGTCCTCGGATGTCCGGCCCGCGATGCTTGGTATAGTGGCGAAGCCCTCAGAGTGAGTGTCCATTCAACTTCAGGATCAGGTGGGCATCCCAACTCGAGAATCTTGTCGGCAAACCGATCAAGGCCTAGCCACGCCGCCCTATAGATGAGAAGCGGTGGCCATTGAATGCTACCAGGCTCTTCAGTCTTGGAGATGATCTGCTTCAGCAGATCTAACATCAAGTCCTCATCACCAGAAGAACTTGCAGCCTCGAGAGTCTTCATCAATTGATCGGATGATAGCGTGTGCTCCTCAATCATTTGTCGGACGATCCCGACATTGCCCTTGCCAGCTGCTTCGAGCAGCCCTCGGAACACGTCGTGTTGGTCTCGTGGCTTTACTACTTCGACCAGTCCAAGGCCAGCAAAGATGGGAAATAGCGTTTCCGGAAGATCAACACTCTTCGTGATTTGGTTTGCAAAGGCCCAGTGACCCTGAGCCAGAATCCGAGCAAGGTTTGGTGATTCTGATTCCGAGAGCGTGGTTGAC